GTGGGTGGCGGCAGGGCAGGGCCGCGATTAGGCGGCTAGGTCGGGGCCGCGACGAGGCGGCGAGAGGGCAAGGCCGCGACGGGCCGAGAAAGCAGGGGGCCGCGACGGGCCATTAGGGCAGGGCCGCGACAGGCCGAGAAGGCAGGGCCGCGACGGGCGGCACTAGGGCAGGGCGCGCGACAGCGTAGGTGAGGCAGGCGCGAGGCGCGCTTCGGGCAGGGCATGAAAAAAATGTTATCGTGGTGGGCCCTAAAAAAAACGTTCCCACGAGGGAACCTGCTCATAATACCATGTCAGAATAGTGAAGGAAGGAATGACTGAACTATCAAGCAGGTGGGTACAAGTAGGAAACCTAAAAGTGTTGTACCCTATATGAACTACCCCACTACAGCCAAGACAGACTATAGCATATAAGTTTGACAACATATGTGTCGTATAATCGAAACTGCAATATATTATGGTGAATCTTGAAATACCGCGTACATTTTGACCCTTGCGATGCGCGAATTCTTCCAGGTGCTGACTTAGGTACTACCAAATTTGCCTCTCCAAGTATTTTCCGTGACGTGGCTTCCCGAACGATGGTTGCCGAAGCGGCACCTTCGCAACGCAACATCCACACTCATTATGAGAAACTATCTTCAAGATGTGTGAAAAAAAATCGAAGTAGTTTAAAAAGTTTCCATTTATAAGACTTATAAGACACCCATAACCTCCCCAAATACAAGATAACCCAAACATTTTTTCGAGTGTACGAGATAAGACATATATGTCTTATATCAGGGCGATGATGGTATCGTGAGCTTAAAATCTGTTCGCCATTGCTACTTGTTCAATCGTTATCCATGTGTTTACTTAATAGTTTGGGTGTGAAGATAATGATGGTTATGAAGATAATGTATCCGATTTCTTTTGTGACCTAGTTTTGAGAGATTATGTTCTCATAAGCCGCTGATGATGATAGAATATACACATCTGTATATAAGATGATTCTTTCAACTGTGACACCATCAGCCACTTTCCCACAGGCACCGTCACCGCCTGCCGTCAAGAGATTCTCGCGCGCTTGTATGACGGAGGTCATCCAACCAAAGGTTTGGAAACGGGTAATTACATTCTGGGTAACCAACATTGAGCCCGCTGACGTCAAAAGTCACCTACGTGGCTCGATGGTACCCGTCAGATCATGCGCGCCCCTTGGTGGTACCCATCTTCCCTCCGTGGTACCCATCTTCCCTGCGTGGTACCCATCAACTGTGCGCAAATTCCCTGACTGGTACCGCAACATTTCAACCGAGCTGTACACCGTACAACAAGGGTGTCAATGCGTTTTTCACTATATTGTCTTAACGTTTACAAGCTCAATAGAGTCCGAAGCCCGAAGTGCCACATAATCGGGTCAATTTTTCAAGCGCATTACCTATAATAAAGTGTAGAAGAAAAGCTGAATTTAGGAAAACATTTATTGTGTAGATTTCTTTAGGCTCATAAACATCCACATTATAACGTGCTATAATTTAAATCACCACAGATATATTGCATCAACCGAAACATAAAAATTAACATCCGTGTAACAAACGATCAACTGACACGTAATATATATATTGACTTAAGGTTATTTGATTTTCATTAATGGGTATTGTTTTGTTTCCAGAAACCAACGAATGTATGTCAGAATGTTATCTTATGCTCTAGCCTGTAGTGGGGTGCTCTATAGCGAGTACAACCCTTCTAGGGTTTCCTATTTGTATCCCCATTCTTGCTAGTGCAATCCTCTTCTTCTCTCTTCTTTCTTCTAAACTTTAACATGCTATCAGAGCAGGTCGATCCCCTTGGATCGATCCTGTGGGTGGGCTCACCACCTTGTTGCTTCCGCTGCAACTGCTACTGCTACTCTCTGTGCCGCACGCTTCGTGGCGTGCGGCAGTTTTTCTTCCCGCCGTGCGCCCCGAGGCGCGCGGCGGTTTTCTGCCCGCCGTGCGCCCCGAGGCGCGCGGCGGTTTTCTGCCCGCCGTGCGCCCCGAGGCGCGCGGCGGTTTTCTGCCCGCCGTGCGCCCCGAGGCGCGCGGCGGTTTCCTGCCCGCCGCGCGCCCCGAGGCGCGCGGCGGGTCGCGCGACCCCTACAGCCCCGTCGCGCCGCCCAGGGGAGCCGCGCGCGACCCCTGCAGCCCCGTCGCGCCGCCCAGGGGAGCCGCGCGCGGCCCCTGCAGCCCCGTCGCGCCGCCCAGGGGAGCCGCGCGCGGCCCCTGCAGCCCCGTCGCGCCGCCCAGGGGAGCCGCGCGCGGCCCCTGCTGCCCCGTCGCGCGGCCCTGCTGCCCCGTCGCGCTGCCCAGGGGAGCCGTGCGCGGCCCCTGCTGCCCCGCCCCGTCCCCGACCTGCCCCGGCCCCGACCTGCCCCGGCCCAACTCCCGTCGCCCGTCGCGGCGCCCTGGGGGGGGCCGCTACCGGGGGCCGCGCGTTGCCCCCCCCCCCCCCCCCCCTACCTCCCTACCCTGTTTTTTTAGGGTTTGGGGGGTAGTGGTTGGGGGGTGGCGGTTGGGGGGTGGCGGTTGGGGGGTGGCGGTTGGGGGGTGGCAGGTGTGTGGCGTCGCCTGCTCCTCCTCCTCCTCCGTCTCCCTGTGCTGCAGCTGCCGCTGAGGGGGGGTGGACGTGTTGGAGCCGGTGGAGTGGTACTAAGGGGGGGTGAAGGGGGAGTGGAGCTAGCGGTGTAGCAGCGGGTGTGTGCCAGGGGGGAGTGGGATAGTTTGGGGAAGCTGAATGGAGGTTGCCGTCGTGTCGCCAGCAGCACCTGTATTCCGGGGACTTCGTCCGGTAGCCCAGTCGTAGCCAGCTGTGCCAGCCGCCCGTGGGTCCGTTGCTCGTCTGCCGCTACTTTAGCCGCGGGGCCTGTTACTCCTGTATTCCGGGGACTTCGTCCGGTAGCCGCTGTGCCAGTCTGCCTCCTGTTGCCCGTGTGTCTGCAGCTTCAGCCGTCGCCCCCTATCTCCTCTCCTCTCACTCTCTCTCCTCCTCCTCACTTGCCCGTTGTGACTACCACTAGCTTTGCTCATAATTGTGAACTTAAACTATTGCTTCTTGAACTTGTGCTCAGAATGTGTGGTGACATTGTGATCCACCCTGAGCTTGTACTCCTTTGCTTCCTCTGCTGATTACACCCCACTTTGGCTATGGGGGTGTGTCAGAATGTTATCTTATGCTCTAGCCTGTAGTGGGGTGCTCTATAGCGAGTACAACCCTTCTAGGGTTTCCTATTTGTATCCCCATTCTTGCTAGTGCAATCCTCTTCTTCTCTCTTCTTTCTTCTAAACTTTAACAATGTACGTATTATTTGTTTATGCTTTTCTATTTAGCTGTGGGGGTACATGCTCAATTTATTTGCATACAACCTTATGAACTTTGTTCAGATTACCAACTGCGCGCCGAGAAACATGGTCGTAAGATTCACGCTACCTATCGCTCAGTGATGTGAGCTTACAAAGGTTCGGAGGTAACGTGAGGATTTTAGAAGGGGAGTTTATTTTTTCTAGGTTGCACTCTATCCAGTGTAAGGCACGTTCAAAGGTATTAATGTTCAAATGTATTAATGTTCAATTGCAGACAGAAAACGTTGGTATAATATAGTGAAAATCGCATTGAAACCCTTGTTGTACGGTGTACAGCTCGGTTGAAATGTTGCGGTACCAGTCAGGGAATTCACGCACAGTTGATGGGTACCACGCAGGGAAGATGGGTACCACGGAGGGAAGATGGGTACCACCAAGGGGTGCGCATGATCTGACGGGTACCATCGAGCCACGTAGGTGACTTTTGACGTCAGCGGGCTCGATGTTGGTTACCCAGAATGTAATTACCCTTTGGAAACCCGCCACAAAAGGAAGTGGACTTGCAGATCTCCCGCGAATGCCAGCGCGCGTTCAATTGTCAGCGCACAACGCACCAATGTTGAAATATTGCGGCTCGTAGTCGAGTCGGCTTCCATCAAAAGCTGAACCAAAATGTGAAACTTCTCCCGCTCACATTGATCTCATTCACCTCATTCATCTGTCCACCTCATCCCCCACCCGCCCTCTGCTGCCCTTCTGCTTCATTTGCATTGGTGGATTTCTTGTGCTGCCGTTGTTCACGCTCGGCACCTCCCACGCACAGCAACGGACGGCTGCACTTTCCCGCTCCATCCATGCATGGAGTCTGTGGACCAACTCACAGGTTCTTTCTTATGTTTGAAAGGCTGCCTGCCACCGATAGGGCAACAGCAGCCTGGCCAGCACCTTGCTTGATGCTGCTACCACTGTCGTGATCGCCGAAACGAGCAAATGCTCGTTTGCATCGCGTCCCCTCTGGTCGAGATACAGTGGATAGATTCAGTTCCCTAAGGGCGAACCCGCCCTAATAGTTGGTTTAGCCATCGATGACGGCTCCTGTCCCGTCCCATCCCATGCTCCGCTCCTCCCAGCATCCCCCGCTTTTCCTTCGGATCATGCGCTGGTTCGGCACACCCACTGGTACATTCTAGAGTTGGGAGAACAGGCTGGAACACTGGGCGCGCATTCACGATACGATTCAATACAGCGGCGCATCACCTCATCACCTCATCACATCACAATTGCCCGTAGAGTGTAAGCCGCTGCCTGATTCTTCCAGGTCTAGTCCTCTTAGGCCACAATCGGCCTGCTAATTCAAACTCGTGAAGTACGGTTCCGTAGAACATCATTCAGAGACTTGTTCAACGTTAGAAAACCAGCAGATAGACGCCTAGGTGTAGTCAGAGTCTCGTGCCTGCCAAGAGCGCGCTTCCATTAATAGAGCTATCTCCAAACACGCCTTTTATCTCTCAAACACGTTGAAACTTCGAGTCTATATATCGACGACGTAAGAAAATGGTCCATCTCCCTCAAAGACCGTCAACTAAGACCTGCAATCCGTTTGGTTATCGCCGAAACATGCGCTCTCTACTCTCCTCCACTCTCCTTCTCATCCTCGTTAGTGTCGTCTCCGCTGAAATGAAGGATCGCTCTCTCTTCGTCCCTTCGCAAGCGCCCCCTGCGGGAACGCTTCAATCGGGCGGCGAGATAACGACGCAGGCCGCGAACCCGCCGCGGTACATCAACGTGGGGTATAACGGCGCAGATTTCAACTACCAATTCAACCCCACCACTAATCTCCGCAGCTGGGCAGCCTCAACAAAAGTTTTCCCAGGCGACTTTCTCGGTACGTCGTCTCGAAGAACTCAGTGCCAATCCTCGTGGGTTGCTTGGTGAGGTTCTGCCGAGTTTCAGTACGGTTCAACCACCGTAGTCGTCGGTCCTTCGTTACTTTTATGCTGTCTCCTCTTCGTATGGTCAATCTCGAAGGTCGCATTTTACGCTCACGCAGAGCGACCTGTGGAGTCATGTTCTCCGTTGTCACAAGTGTACTCTCCTTTCCCTCCCCCAACCCCCATTCCCCCTTCTCATCTCCTCCCCCCTTCTTTCCCCTCCCCCAACCCCCCTTCCCCCGCTTTTCCGCTCCCCCGCTTTTCCGCTCCGCCAGTGTTCAACTACCCGACGCGCACGGACGAGGTGTACCAGTTTTACCGGCAGGCGGACTACGAGATCTGCAACTACGCGCGCGCCGTGCGCGTGTGCAAGAACTGGGACGGCGCCAAGGGGTGCAAGGTGAAGGCGCAGCAGGGCACCATGTACTTTGCGTCGGGCATGCTCGGGCGCTGCCAGCGCAACCAGAAGGTGGCGGTGAAGGTTAAGAGCAAGCCGTACACGGCGAGGAAGATCGTCGTGGGCAAGCCGACGGCGTCGTTCGGGTGGCCGTGGAACCCGCAGGTGGACTACAATCTCTGGATGCAGTCTACGAAGATCTACGTTGGCGATAAGCTCGGTGCGTTCTGCGTTCCGCGTGCCGCGTGCAATTTTGAATTATTGCGTTTCTCGGTCTGGCATCCCTGTGTTTCTCGCTCTATCGCTCTTACTCTTTTGCCCCCTTTCGACCCCATCGGCGGAACCGCACTCACGACTACAACCAGCCGCTCTCGCCGTTCCCTTTCGGCGATGCGTCTAAGAGTGCTCTCCTCACCTCCTTTCGTTGCGATCTCACTGTAATCCCGCTCCTCCCTCCCTCCCGCATCTGGCGCCAGTGTTCAAGTACGCGGCATACATGGATGAAGTGTACATCGTACCCACGTACACCGACTATGTCAACTGCAAGTACGACAACTACGTGGCGTACTGTAACGCGACGGACGGCATCGGCGACGGGTGTTTCAGTTCGGCCATCACCGCCACCCCAATGTACTTCGTCTCCGGCTCGTACTCGCACTGCTTCGCGAACAACCAGAGGGTGAGCGAAATTGGGGGTGTTACTGAAGTAGGGTTACTGCACTGGTTTGAGTTTTCGTTAAGTGGGGTGCATTAGGACAGCCTGACATCGGCGGGGGGGCGACGGGACTTGGTCGCGGGTTCGTGCTAGTATGGATTCGCGAACAACCACAGGGTGAGTGAGAGAAGGAGAGTGGAAACTGAAAGATTCGCTGGTTGCACGAAAGGGAGGACAGGTAGTTGAACCAGGCCGTTGACGTAGAACGTGTGGGAGAAGAGAGAACAGAGAGAAAGGGGAGTGGCAGGCATGTTCTTTCCGCTACTCTGTATTCTCTCTCAGATCTGTCCTGTCCTTTCCCTCGCTAATTTTTGCTCATTCCCCTCCCCTCTTCGATTCTACAGCTAGCTGTGAAGGGGCTACCGCCACCTGCTTCGTAAAGCTCTTTCCACGGAATTCATTTCAGTGGATGGCGCTACTACCACTACCATCTTACCCCAATAAATTCTAGATCTAGGTATTCACAAAACTGCTGATTCCCGGATCTAGGTCTGGGTGCAATAGTCCAGCTCATTGCATGTTTTTCTGCCTGCAGCCCAGTTACGGTATTCTTCAGACAAGCTTCCCTAGGTGCTCCGGGAAGTGAAGTATGGTAAATGTTTCATGGATTAGAGGGTACTGAGATGTGATTGTTCTAGACAGATTATAGTACAATTGATAATTGTGCAAGCTATGTTACCTAGCCTTGCTGTGCTCAACCACGGTACGGTATGCCTCTGGGTTGTGAGTGATGTCGTTTTCAGGATACTGAACTCGGGGCTTTGAGTAATGTCGTTATCAGTTCTGGTCGAGAAAGAACCACTTTTCCCCCATGTGAAAAACGAAACCAGAGACTAATATATTTCACTTGGTAGCGCTCGGTAGCGCTACCGTTTCGCTAGACGACGCTACCGAGTGAGTCAGCATGCTGACCGCGGGCAGAAAAAAACTAAAACCCATTCGGACTCCATGCCATTCAGGAGCCTCAACCCAATTTTTTTAGGGTTGATGCCTCCCGAATGGCATGCCTTCCGAGTGGGTTTTATTTTTTTCCTTGCCCGCTGACTCATTGCACTGCCTGCGTCAACATGTTACGTGTTCTTTTATGGTTGCACAATGAACAGTTGATGCTTAGTGTTGGGCTGAGAAAGCCCTTAGGATCTTTTTCAGGACTAAGATCGGGTATTGACGTAGAGATGTAATAGCGGAAGCGTTTAATGAAGAGTTACTTGAACCACCTTGTGCTGGTGTGTGAGAACAAGATAAGTTGATAATAGCAGAGAAGTACAAGGCTTTTATATGATTACAAAGGAGTATGAAAGTTCTATCTTTAACTGTTTTTGCTGTTGCGGTTCGATACAGTGCCGACTCGGGTAACTGCTCTGTAACGAGTCAGTTATGTGTCCTTGCTGTCGCACTGTACGGTTCGTCAGGTCAAAGGTCGGGGACCTTCGACCTTCGCGCAACCTCCGAAGGTTGACTCGAGTGCTTCTTCGCTGTAGTCAGTTCCGTTTTGTGTCGAAGCTTCGATACGACAGAAGCGTTATAAATCACTTGTTTCCAACACTTAGTACGGTTTCTCACTTTCTAATAGAGCAAATCCTATCTGAATTAGTTACATGGTATTAGCCAGGATGTAGCCCATCACGTGCATCTGAGCAATGGCCATCCCATCTAAGGAATGCGTCCATCCATCAATCCATCCACCTAACCCCTGCGATCAGAGTGCTTCTATTCAATGCGACCAGCTTGAACAAAGCAGCTACGTTCAGGCAGTGATACCCAATGCACGGTTCCACCCAGCAATGACTACCTCTGGAGGGGCTGATGTCTTCTTGAAGCTCTCCCTGCTGTGGAGCGCCTGGGGGGTGGGTGGAAGAGAGAGGCATGGGGGGAAATGGTAACGAATTGAGATTTGCAGGAAGAAAGAAATGGATACTGTATCATATGGTAGCATGCACACTATTATGGAAGTACCGGGAACGGAATTCTGGGAAACAGACGAGGAGCCGATGGGTTGGCGAAGAGTGCGTACACGCATGGAAGTGACATGTGTGCATACCTTGATGTATGCATGCACGTGTGTGAAGGTGTCAGGAATGTGCCAGTTCTTGTAGTGTGGCAGAGCGACTATCATGTGGTAGAGCTTCGGGGAGAGACCAATGTCCACTGCTGTGACTCTCTCACCCGCCACAAACGGACCGCCCTGCTCACATGGTCATGGGAATGGACATAGAAGAGAAGAGCGGGAATGGAGCATGCAGTGAGGGAAAGAGGGGGACAGACAAGTGGCGAAGGGGGGAATATGGTGGCAGGCAATAATGGTGGGGAAAAGACAGGTGGCGAAGCTTGCTCTAAATGTCTTGAAGGTATCCCCTAAGCTACCCCACCCCACAAGCAGCAAACACAGTCCTTAGCCCGTTACTACCCCCCCCCAACAATTCCTCCCCCATCCCATCCTTTCCTGTTTCTCCCCTGCCCATCAAACTCACCAAACCCCTCCCCTCCTCCTCTCCACCCCTCCCCCTCTCTCCGCCCTCAGCACTGACCGAGGCCTTGAGAGCGTCCTCTAGGGCGGACAGCTCCCCCAGCAGCGCCTGCTCCGTGCCATCAGCGCTGTCTTTGCTCTTGAGAAACTTCACAAACGCGCCAAAGACACCCGCGCCACTGGCAGAGGGGGACAGGGCGAGAGGGCGAGATCGCGGGAGGGCGGAGGGGAGTAAGGGGTGTGAAGAGGTGTCATGTCATGGTGATTGCTATGGGTTCACGAGGGACGATTTGGCATTTCTCACCACAACCCTCTTGTACAAATAGTGCCCTCTCCTCTCACATACTCCTCCCACGTCCCCTCGTGTTTAAAACCCAGTGAGTCCACCCAACGACACACGCAGCAGCACACTCACACGGCCTTCTTGTCGTCCGGCGTGGCAAGGGACGGCTGAGGGAAGTCGGATTCGAGCGCAGCAGTGATGGCGTCCGAGTCAGCCAGCCACCCATCCGCCGTCTTGATCACCGGCACCTTGCCCTCGGGATTCACATCCAGGAACCTGTGATGTGACACACGCACGGGGGAAGGGGGAGGGTGGAAGGGGGAAGGGGGGAAAGGCGGGAAGGGAGAATGTGGGTTGAGCGGAAGAGGTAGCGAGTAGAGGGAACGGAGAAGGGGGAAGAGGGGAGATGGTCGGGGGAAGTGGGTAGGGAGAAGGGGGCAGGCGGCAAAAAGATGGAAGTGGAATTCGGGATTCGGGTATTGAATGTGAAGAGCGAATGGTGCAGGGAGATGTGGCAGGGCTTGGTCTGACATGCTGGTGGTCATCCTGAACGAGAGGAACTTCACAAAGAAGCGGGGAGAACGAATCCATGCATAGAGGAAGAGGGGTACCGTGGACGAAGCGCGGGAGGCGATTAACAGAAAAGGGTGGTAAAAGTAGACGCGAAAAGGTATAAGAGGGATATGGAGGAAAAGGCGGTGCACCATCGCGGCTTGTTGGCCGTGTCGACGAGGCGGTAGGAGTACGGTAGTCCCTTCTCTTCCACGGTGATGAGCACGCGCTGGGAGAACGGACCTGGGGGGGAGGGGGGGAGGAGCAGGTGGAGTTGGTTCAGGGCATAGAAAGCGTCGCATCGTTGCAAAATCGCTTGACGCTAGGAGGTTAGACAGAGGCTGCGATTACAGAAGTCTGGAACTACTGAAGACTCTTTAAAAAAGATTCGATAAACTGGTAGGCAGGAGATTGGCCCTTGTGAGTATAAATTTAAACAGAAAGGTGATTTATTTAGAAGGAACACAGGAGCAGGATAGCGGGAAAGGGAAGTCGAGGGAAAGCCGAATCTGTACGAGCAAAAGACATTTCTTACAATCTCCGAGCTTATCGGGTGATCCTGTGGCCGCCTTCACCAAGACTTCAACAGGCTCGGTGATCTTCGGTGCCGCTGCCATCGCTGTCACCACCCGGGCACGCACTGCACGAGCTTTCCCAAATCCCGCAGGAGTCCGCGCGGGAAGCTTCGCGCCAAGGAACGCGGAAAAGGAGAGGCGAGAGGAGGAAGACGCAGCGGAGGGGATACGCGGAAGGGAGGTGGTGGTGCTGAGAGCCGTAGCGGAAGGGGAGATGAGGCGGACAGTGGAGGAGATACGGAGGGTGGAAGAGGAAAAGGCTTCCGTGATCGCAACAAGGGGAGATGCGGTGGCGAAGACCATTATTATGCGAGTCTGCGGGGAAGATGGACGGTGGACGAGAAGCTAGCAGGCGTAGTGGAAAGAAGGAACCACACGCATGCAGACCAGCTAGGATAGAAAATTGCTTCTAGAATGCTGCAGACAAATTGGGAATGCAGAATGCTCTGAGAGTAGAAATTGGGGATTGGGAAGGAAATGGGATGGGGAACATGGTGGGGTGGGGGGTAAGATGCGGTAATGTACTTTGCCAAGGGGTACAGTAGTAGTTTACAGTTCTGGGTTGGAGCGCACACTTGTGGGGCAGGGAGGAGGACACTTGGCTGCAAGAGAGTGACAGAATTGAACACGAGCAGTACGTTCGGTTCGTTACGTTGCAGAACGGTATTGAGGGATTGAGCGGAGCCGGCGCATGCAGTGATTCGATGCATCGGGTCTGGAAGATGGAGTGCATTCATTGTTGGCCCAGTTTTGGTGCTGATGTGGAGGTCCATGAGAGGTTGATCTGTGTGCGTTGGTGAGGGACGAATGCGGACGAATGAGGTCCATACTGCGTCTACATTTCTGTCGCTACATAGCAATTTCATGTTTAATATTTCGTGTAGTCCGCAGTTCTGCCGAAATCACACTGAAAACTTCAGCACTGAAGCATTTTGATTTCTCCAGATTGTCGTACTTCGTGCTCCGTGCTTTGGTCATCACAAAACGGATTATTTCTCCAATATGTGCTGAATTCACCGCCATTCTGGTTGACGTCAGCCGGATGCTCTTCATTGATTGCCAATTTCGCAAGTTTTCTTCTTTCTTTGGCGCTAGAATTCACGGACATGGGTGAGCCAGAGACTCGATGTGTAAGAGGCTGCTGCGTGAGCACAACAGTGAAGCTGAACGTGCCTAAGGCAGAGATAAAGACAGGGCCGCTGATTGCCAAGGGTAAGAACGTAAACAGCTATTCAAGTACTAGTCTTTGAGGAGATTGAGATTGCTTGATCAGGCGCAATTAATGTGAAATGCAGGCCCAGAAAGCAGCGTATATGAAGGGTCATATTTGGAACAGCCAGTTGCCCTGAAGAAGCCACGATTGTCAACATCCGAAGATATGGATCGATTTCACAAAGAGCTAAAGCTCCTGAGGTAGTGCATTGTAATTCTCCTTGTAAAATCCTTTTGCAGCCTTGACCCAGGCTCACACTGCATCATTGCTTCCGTCTTTCCGTGTGAAGCTCGCTCAAGCATCCCCACATCGCCTCGTTGCTTGCTGCTCGAGCTTATCCTCCCGACTACGTTCTGATTTTCACCCTTTATCGTGGAGGGAACCTGCATGAAGCACTTCACACGAAACAGTGGAAGCCAAGTGTGCTGGATATCCTTCGCATTGGTTATCAGGCTGCTCAAGCACTGGCGTACGTTCATTTGTTGGGCGTTGTACACCGGGATGTGAAACCATCCAACATCTTGGTATGGCTGTGTTCAGGTCCCTTTCAGCTGAGAATCCATGGCACTACCGTTTTCTGACAGATGCCTGGGAATTGGTGCAGATTGATGACCTGGGCAACGCATTTCTGTCAGACTTTGGACTTGCTTCACACTCTAGCGAGCTCCAAAAACATACGGCTGCAAACTGGCAGTCATCTGGGAAACCAACAGGAGGTTTTCACAAGAAAAACATGGTTGGAACTTTGAGGTGAACTCATCAAGCGTTTCTGCCTTCAGAGACATAAACATCGCGAATTTCTGTACAACGGTTACATACCCACGTGGACTTGCAGGTACATGGCACCTGAAATCCTCGCGAAGGATGTCCACACCTTGAAATCAGATGTTTATAGCTTCGGCATCACGCTCAAGTATGTCTATTTGCCGTACATTCGTTTGCATTAAGCAGTTTTCGTTTCCCACCATAATTTCGGCTCCTTTTTACATCCTCCTTTCAGTGAGCTTGCCACAGGCGTGATCCCTTACTCTGACTGTACTACTGATGTCCAGGTAAGAGCCTTCTTTTCCAATAGCATTGGGCATAGCTACAGAACAGATACACTAATTGTTCTTCTCCTCACCACTTGCATTGTTGTCCAGGCTCACACTGTGTTGGAGATGGATTATTCTGAACAGCAGCTGGCTGCAGCTATTACCACTTTTAATCTCAGGCCGAATGTTCCTGGAATAAGTGGTCCAGTCACGGAAAGACTGCGAAGCCTCATTGGGAAGTGCTGGCATCCGAACATCAACTTGCGACCTTCAATGTCAGATGTTGCGCATGACATCGAGAGCATTCTCTCCGGAAGTGTGCCCTTTCCAATAGACCACACCCAACAGCCGGGCATAGTGCACAACCAGCCAGATCCTTCTCAAGCCTTTCCACCTGAAGAGATTTTAACTTCCAAGAACACTGTGCTGTCAAGCAAGGTTGTGGACCTTGCCAAGAAGGCAACAGCTCATGCATCAGCTATTTCCATTGGGTCTTTTGCAACAAGTGGGGCAAGAGAGAAGATGGAAGATCGACATTTTATCAAGACATTCACTGTTGCGTCTTCCACAATATATATGTTTGGAGTGTTCGACGGTCATCGAGGTAAGCGTTGCTAAATCTTCATAATCTTGCAAGCTGTTAATTTTTTATCTGAATGACTGAGAAGGGTTGCTTTACAGGGTATGAAGCTGCAGAGTATTGTGCCCGGAATATCCCTGGAAGTGTAATGGACAAGCTTTCTGATCTCAGGTGGGTTCTTTCTTGACATGCAGCTAACATCCTCTCCTACATGAACCCTTAACATATCCGTTTCGACTGTTTTTCAACTGTTCTCCATACTTCCCCCACCCTCTCCCCTTCCCACTCCTTCCTGTTTCCCCCCTCCGCCCTTCTTTCTCTTCTTCTCAATTCACTCTTTCACCTGCATCCGCTTTCAGTCCACCCGAGGCTCTCATTGAGTCCTTTTTGGCAACTGACAAGGCCTTGGAATTAGAGCTGAGCAAGCAGAGAAAGGCTCGGCCTGACAGTGGAAAGGGGTGGTACCCAGGATGCACAGCATGTGTGGCCCTTGTGATTGGGACCGACATGTACATTGCCAATGCTGGCGACTGCAGAGCTGTTCTGAAGCAGTCTGGAGAAGTGAAGGCACTGTCCCGTGTATGGCCTCATCCACATGCAAGGACATACCGCATGTAGTTTTTGTGAAGCCTAGCCTTTCTGTTAACCCCTGCTATTCTTCTTGTCTACAGGATCACGTCGCTAGTGACCCAGAGGAGCGCAATCGAGCAGAAAAAGCTGGTGGTCTGGTGCAGTGGCGTGTCAACACGTGGCGTGTGGGAATTGCTGGAATTGAAGTGAGTATTGTTCATGTGCTTTTCAGCCTGGGGCAAGCATTTCCAGGTGTCGGGTGGGTACATCGACCTTCGATATCAAGTGGTATCATGCCTTTGTTCTGTTCAGGTTACTCGGTCACTTGGCGATCACGACATGAAACTTGCAGTGACAGCAGAGCCAGAGATTACCCACCACAAGCTCTCTGAAGACGACGAGTTTCTGGTGAGTACAGGCACCAGACCCATGTGCGCATTCAAGCACTGCTTTTCTTGCAGTATGTATGTGGCTGCAATATCCACAACACACATCATCCACTGTGCTGTACAGGTCATGGCGAGTGATGGGCTGTGGGAGAAGTTAAGCAATGAGGAAGTGGCACAGTACGTGCTAGACACTGTAAAGGAGCCCTCAATGAGCAGCAAGCGCCTGGTGACAGAGGCAGTGGATCGGGGCAGTCAGGATAATGTCACAGCTATTGTAGCGTATCTGAAGAATGTATCCACAGTGGAAAGGATTTACTAGGTAAGAGCTGATGTGAATTGGAACTATTCCCTATTAGTTGCTTGCAACTTACAGCCTAAGCATTGTCATGAACAAACCAAACAAGCAGAACCAGAGCTAAACCACTGGCATACCAGTTGGAATCCTGCTAACCAGATTGAGATCAGGAAAAATAAGCAATGCTTAGTGCTTATGTCTCTACTTGATGTCAGCTGCTCTTTCTCCTTCCTAGGAAAGCTGCTAAAGTTGCTTGTTTTACCACCTTTTTGTTCCCTGTGGCCTTGGAAGGTGCTCCAACTGGCTCTCTATTCTGCTTATGAAGCACATGCGCTGCTGCTTTCACATGCTCCGAAGACCTTGCAGGCTGGTCCACGAGTACCTGCTTCAAGTCACAGAATGGAAACAATGAAGTCAGGGAAGCCGTTAGTTACTACGTTCACCAGGAAACCTACGAACATAACTGCACAGTAACCAACTTCAATGGATTCTCAGACCACCATACGTACCTTATCAGTGAGTTTCGCTTTCTTGGCAGGAGAAGCTGACCATCCCTTCTCCATCTCCCTGCTTCTGTTCACTTCCCTCAGCACCTCTGACTGCTTTCTATTGGCAGCAGTTCCAGCAGGCATTGGAGACAGCAGCGGACGGGTCGGCGTGTTCATAGGTAAGGGGGTGTGGTGATGTGAGTAATCCCTGTCCTCTGCAAGTGGAACCACCAGTGGACAGAACCTGGTACCGGCATCAGCAGCTGAAGACCGTGCAGCAGATACACAGAGAGTGGGAGATGTATAAGCAGCAGGAGACTTATGAGCTGCAGGTGACTTGTACGAAGCAGGAGCTTTCTGAGCAGTAGGAGGTTTCTGAGCAGTAGGAGGTTTCTGAGCAGTAGGAGGTTTCTGAGCAGTAGGAGGTTTCTGAGCAGTAGGAGGTTTCTGAGGAGGGGAGCAATGACCAGCACTGGTGGCAGGTACTCGGGTGGTCTCTGTCCCGTAGAGCTCTGATGACAGGCACTTCTTCTGCATTGCTTTCGTCTGCTGCTGTTGCTCCCTCTGCTGCTGGTGTTGTTTTGCCGCCTGAGGAGACTGCAGCTTCTGTACTGTGAAACCATCTTCCTCCCTCCTCACTCCCTCGCAGCTTCCCCTTCCGTTGAGGCCCATCACAGAAGAAACATCAACTTTGCCTGACGCCCCCATTCTTCCATTGCTGGATGACAATACACTCTTCTGCTGGGCTTTAAGATAGAGAGAAAGCTCCTCTTCCTCAAGCACCACCGCACCGCCTCCCGACCCCCCCTCGCTCCCAGTGCTGATCCCAGACACAGCAGCTTCGCTGCCGGAACTGCCTTCCAGGAGATCATCCAGGCGTTTCCGCTTCTCAGCACCGTTCCCCTTGTTCCTCTGCTTCTCCTCACTCCCCTCTCTCACACCCCTCTCCTTACTCCCCTCCCTCACCTCCCTTTCACCAGTCCCCACGTCACCCTTCAGGGAATTCTGCAGGTGGTTCTTCAGCTGTTCTAGGCTCTCCCTCTTGCGCTTGGTCCTTTCCCTGTCCGCATCCATACTCAAATTGCCATCCCTGCCGGTCGCCGGTGCCCTTTGGCTTGGAATCGCCGTTTTCGCCTTGACTGGGGCCGAACCTGCAGCTGCAGCAGCAGCAGTAGCAGCACCGCCAGCACCAGCAGCAGCAGGAGATGCGTGCGGGAGCGACGGCAGGAAAACAAGCTGCGATTTCGGCGCTGGGTGCACATCCACATGTTTCGCCTTGTGCCTCTTCTCTACCGACTCACCAGCAGGCGAGACAACAGGGTCAGATGATACAATCGGGTCTGATTCCTGCGTGCCTCCCAATCCCGCTCCACCAGCCTCTCCCATGCCTACACCTGCTCCCGCACCTCCTATTCCTCCTCTCCCTCCACCTGCTCCTGAACCCCTTCCTCCTCCTGCCCCTCCTCCTCCACCTCCCCCTCCCCGTCCAGTGGCAGGTTTTCGCAAACCAGACCATGAAACGAGAAAGCTGTCTCTCCCCCCCTCCTCCTTCCTCTTCTCCTTCCCCTTCCCCACCTCCTGCTTACCGTCCGTCGCCTGCCCTTCAGCCTGCTTTCCTTCTCCTAGCTTCTCCTTCTGCTTAACTCCCTGGGACTTTCCAAGAACCCCCCACGCAGAAACCATTGTCCCGGAATGGCAGTGCTTGTTTGGTCTATCCTGGTGTTGGTGGTATGGGTCTCCCCCCATCTCCTCCTTCCTCCTTTCATGTTGTTGCGAGTCGTCATCGTTACTTCCACCAGCAGCAGCAGCACCAGCAGCACCAGCAGCAGCAGCAGCAGCAGCAGCATCACCAGCAGCAGAGGCACCACGAGTGGAAGCAACAGCAGCAGCTCCAGTTCTCAGCCCGCGACTGGTTCCCCATTTGTTGGAGAATATATTTTCTCGGGAGAATTCGTACGGAATGTCCCATCTCCATGCCACCTCCTCTGCCACGTGGACTACCAGCTTTGTCAGCACGCTTGGCAACGGCCAATCAACACGCATGAAGTCGCGCACCTTCTCAGCTTCCGTCGCCTGAGGAAGGCGAATGGAGGGAAGGGGGGGAGGAAACGGATGCTTAGCATGGTTATTCATCTTCTACATGTCACGTGGGTTGGTGAGGGTCACGCGGGCACAGAGTGGACAGAAGAGTGAGGAGAGTGTGAAGGGGAGTGAGTGTGGAGAATATGAAGGGGAGTGCGTGTGGAGGGAGCGAGTGAGCACGAAAGGGAGTGAGATACAGAGTGAGGGGAGTGAGGGGGGGATAGGAAGAGGGGGTGGAGAGAGTGCATACCTGTGCGGAGCTGAGAGCGCAGTTGGCATAGGCTGCATCGTACTTGTTTGTGAGGACAAAATGAGGGTCCGTCCTGATGATTGGGACCACAACAATGCGTGGGACGGACAGAGGGATGTTTGGCACAGAGAGGGAGAGAGTTAGAGACAGGGGGGGATCCCTGTGTGCGCAGCTGACACAGGCTGCATCGTACTTGTGTGTGAAGACAAAATGTGGGTCAGTTGTGACAAGTGACAGCACATTCACGTACGGGACAGAGGGTTTGGCACAGAAAGAAGGACAGGAGAAGTCAGTGGACGGGGGCGGAAGTGAGGAGAACTGGGGAGAAGAGAGAGGGAGGAAGAAAAGTGACTGGGTAAAGCTAGCTGCAAGATCTCTGCTTCTCTGCCCAGCCGCCATTCCCCTCTGTTTCTTCCCCTTCCCCCCCCCTCCGCCTCTTCCCTCTCCCCCTCTCCTCTCTCAACCCCCTTTTTGTATCCGCCGCCTTCCCCTCTCTTACCTCAGAGCTGCAAAGTCGGAAGGCGAGCAACCCATTTCCACTGCTGCTCTCAGGAAATCAGCAGCTGCCTCGTCATCCCACCACGTGGGAAAGCGCCAGCTGTCAAAGGAGGAAGGAGGGGGAGGAAGGAGGGGGAGGGGGAGGAAGGAGGGGGAGGAAGGAGGGTGAGGAAGGAGGGAGAGGAAGGAGGGGGAGAGGGAGGAAGGAGTGGGAGGGGGAGGGGGAGGGGGAGGGGAACAAGAACAATTGATTCTGGTTAATGAGGCGCCTCTAAAGGCAGAAGGAGAGGGGGCGCGTGAGGGAGCAGGTCGGGCGAGGAAGAGTGAGTGGTGTTGGTGAGGGGGAAAGGAAGGGAGCAGCGGTTGGGGAGATGGGAGAGGAGGGGGAGGAGGGGTTGAGGAGGAGGAGGAGGAGGAGGAGGAGGAGGAGGAGGAGGAGGAGGAGGAGGAGGAGGAGGAGGAGGGGGGAGGGGGGGGGGGGGGAGGAGGAGAAGGAGGAGGAGGAGGAGGAGGAGGAGGAGGAGGAGGAGGAGGAGGAGGAGGAGGAGGAGGAGGAGGAGGAGGAGGAGGAGAATGAGGAGGAAAAAATGGCAGCCGCAGCGGCGGCAAGGGAAAGACACCCCAATCAAGGAAAAGCAATAAACAGAGAGAGGAGGCGCACCGCTTGACTTATGAGTCGGCTCAAAAGTCACCTTGGAAAGGCAAAACAATCAAGGGAAAGGAATAAACAGAGAGAGGAGGCTCACCGCTTGACGACAGTTGAGGAGAGAATGGCAGTGATGGTGGGGTGCACAAAACCTTCTGGCTTGGCTGCTGCTGCTGCTGCTAGCACTCTCACCACAGCTCGCATTTGCAGTCGACTGGATTTGGGGGAGGGGAGAAGGGGAGAGGCAGAGAAGAGAGGAGCAGGAAAGGAGTGGGTGTTGGCTGGGTGAAGGGTGAATGCGGAGAGGGAACGGGTGAAAAAATCTCTACTCATTTACGTAAAGATTGTTACTCAAAATGTGAAAGGTAACCAAGCGTACCATGGATCATTCTTTCTCGCGACTCTCTGCACTCCTAACACACCACTCTGCACTCCAAACGCACCTCCCTGCACTCCTTACTTACCTCTCTGCACTCCTTACTTACCTCTCTGCACTCCTTACTTACCTCTCTGCACTCCTTACTAACCTCTCTGCACTCCTTACTTACCTCTCTGCACTCCTTACCTCTCTGCACTCCGTACTTACCTCTCTGCACTCCTTACTTACCTCTCTGCACTCCTTACTAACCTCTCTGCACTCCTTACTTACCTCTCTGCACCCTTCACGCATCGCAGTCGGAACGCCACAGTGCTCATAGCAGCCCTCGCAGCAGCAGGCAGCTTCTCCCCTGCTGCTTCCCTCGGCCACAACTCCTCAGCCTTCCTCCCATCCTCCTCCGCTGCTGCAGCAGCAGCACCAGGATGATTGGCAGCAGCGTACGCAGCAACAGCAGCACTCAGGACAGGATCAGCGAAATCGATGGAGCGGTGGTGGGGTTTGGACTTCTGCCCACGCAGTGCCAGGTCTAGGCTGAGTTGGTGTGACTCGGGGAGGGAGTACACGCTACGATATACGCGCTCTAGCGCTGCTGCAACTTCTACCACCTCCTCCTCTGACCGCTGCTGCAGCTTCGCTGCCTGGCGGAGCTTGTCTGGTAGGCGACGGAAATGGGGAAGGGAGAGGGGAGGGGAGGGGGAGGAGAGGGGAAAGCAGAGGGACGAGGGTGGGGGGAGTGGGGCGGGGAGGAGAGGCAGAGGAGGGAGGGAGATGCAACAGGAGGGTCGAGGGAGAAAGGACGTGCAGAAGTAGCTGGAGTTGGTGTGACTTGGAGAGCGAGTGCACAGCGAGTGCACAGCAAGTGCACAGCAAGTGCACGCCAAGGCACTCTCCCTGCACACGTTTTTTCTAGCCCCGCACCCTCACCTGCACTCCCCCGTACTCTCATCTGCTCGCCCGTTATTTCAAATCACCACATTCCAGTGCAGAAAGAAACACCTTCCACTCTAAATCGCTGTTTCTGAAGCGATTAACAAACAGCCCCCGCTCCGACTTTCTCGAAAGTAATACAAGCATTTCAACTCACCTCCTTCCAGTGCAGAGAAGAGCACCTTCCATTCGAGCCTCTTCATCTCTGCTTCATTCCACGGCTGCACTTTCTTCGCCCCTACTCTCACCCCATCTCCCTTTTTCAACTCACCTCCTTCCAGTGCAGAGAAGAACACCTTCCACTCAAGCCGCTTGATCTCTGCTTCGTTCCACGGCCGCACTTTCTTCGCCCCGCCTTGCCCTTCCCTCTTTGCCTTCCTCACTGCTCTTCCCCCCCCGCACTCCCCCTCACTCACCCCATCCTCTCCTACCCACGCCACATCCTCTCCCATCCCATCATCCCCACCTACTGTGCCTCGCCCCCTCTTCCTCCCCTTCCGATCTCCCCCCTCCGCCTCCTCCCCACTGCTCCCCTCCCCACTTTCAGACTCCCCACTCTCCCTTTCCTCTGCCTTCCCCTTCTCTCCCACTCCCCCTTCCACACCCTCTCCACTTCCCCCTCCCGCCCCTCCTCCCTTTCTCACGCCTCCCTCCGCGTATACCACTTTCTTCCTCCTCCTCTCCTCCCTGGCCAATGGCGTAAACCCATCCAGCGGAGATTCCTTTGCTGCCCGAGCTGCCCGGCAGGCCTCGGGCAGCAGCTCTTCCCAAAACTCCGCGCCTTGCTTGATTGCATTCCCATCTGCTCCCCCTCGCGAAGACCGGGTGCTCCTTTTCCTGCTGCCACCACCACCACCACTCCAGCCAGCATTCTCATTCTCATCTCCATCCCCCCCACTACCAATTCCTCCTCTTTCTGGACTTCCCCTGTCCCCCTCTGGGTTGTCTTGATCCTCCTCTGCCGTTTCCTCTGGCCCCTCGGGTTCCTCTGAAGCGAAAGTGGCTATAGAGAATGTGCTTGTACCGGATCTGCAGGGGGAATAGGAAGCAGAGGCATGTGAGGCAGCAAAAAAGCAAAGAGAAAGGAGGGAGGGAGGGAGGGGGGTTAGAGAAGGAAGCACGGAAAGAGAACGTGGCAGTCACAGAGGGGGAACATGGCAGGACGGGATTTCGGTGTTTCTGCATCTCCTTGTTCCTCGTTTTCTGCGTTTCCATGTTTGCAGTGTTGGTGATTCTGTGTGTTTTGCTGCGCTGCGCCAACTACTTACCCGCCTATCGTGCGAGTCTGCGTGCGCTGCTCCAGGATCTGGTCAATGTTCTCTTGTCTGCCGTGAACCGCACGCTATCCTCTGCCACCCCAAGGGCAGTGTGCGCCAATATGCCCTAGGAGTTACAAACGCCCCACGAGTTTGTTCGAGTCTGCATCCCCCCCCCCCCCCAACTCACCCGCCAATGGTGCGTGTCTGTGTGCGCTGCTCCAGTATCTGGTCAATGTTCTCTGCTGTGAACCGCACGCTATCCTCTGCTGCCCCAAGGTCGGTGTGCGCCTGTGTGCCTCAGTGTGTCTGTGTGTGTGTTCCTACATCCCTCTCGACTCACCCGCCGATCGTGCGTGTCTGCATGCGCTGCTCCAGGATCTGGTCAATGTTCTCTGCTGTGAACCGCACGCTATCCTCCGCCGCCCCAAGGTCGGTGTGTGCCTGTGTGCCTGTGCGCCCCAGGAGTTACAAAAAAACCCAAGGGTTCGAGACTTAATCTCCCCCCCAACTCACCCGCCAATGGTGCGTGTCTGTGTGCGCTGCTCCAGGATCTGGTCAATGTTCTCCGCTGTGAACCGCACGCTATCCTCTGCCGCCTCGTCTTTGAACAGCTCATACGCCCCGTGCTGCAGCAGACTCTCTATATCCTTACTCTGTTCCGGATTCCGCACCCCACCTCCCCCTGCCACCCCCCCTCCCGCACCCCCTGCGCCCCCCACGCCTTTCCCCCTCTTTCCACGACCCCCTCCTCCCCCGCCCGCCCCGTCAGCTTCTTCTCCTTCTCCCCCGCCCCCTGCCGCATCCCCATTCGCCCCGTTCCCAGCGCTGGCGCCTTGGTAGTTGCCGAGAATGGCTTCCTCGAGCCCGTATTTGCGTGAGGCGCAGTCAAACAGCTGCTGCTCGTACGTGCGGTGCGTTATGAGGCGGTAGACTTTCACGTCCTTGCTCTGCCCGATCCTGTGCACCAGAGGAAGAGGAGGGCAGCAGGGAGGGTTGAGAGAAAGGGTGTTTTGAGTTGACGTAAAAGTTTTTACCTCGTTGTCAGCCGGTACACCTTCACGCCCTTGCTCTGCCCGATCCTGGGCAGGGGAGGGAGGAGGAAGTGGTGGAGAGAGGGCAAGGGCGTGTTGAGAGGGTTGAGAGGAGATGAAAGAAAGAAGGTGAGCGACGCGTAGTGCGGTTGAGTGGGGCACAATTAGATACTTGGTGAGAGGACGAGCAGGAGAAGGGCAAGAAAGGAGAGTTCGGGTCCCACCTGTGGCAGCGTGCCATGGCCTGCAGATCGTTCTGGGGGTTCCAATCAGAGTCGTAGATGATACACGTGTCCGCCTGCCATTGGGGGGGCGAGTGAAGGGGAATTGTCGAGGGTGGGAGAGTTGGGGGGTGAGGGGAAGGGTGGTTAAGAATAGAGCTGTGGTTCCAATCAAAGTCATAGATGATGCATGTGTCCGCCTGCGATGGAGGGGGCGAGTGTGTGAGAGGGTGGGGTTGGGAGGGGGTGGGCAGCTTAAGAATGGTCCGTGGAAAGTTGAAGGTTCCAATCAGAGTCGTAGATGATACACGTGTCCGCCTGCCATTGGGGGGGAAGAGTTGGGGAAGGGGGGAGTGTTGAGGGTGGGCAATTCATACAGAGAGAAAGAGACTAAGTGAGTCGTTGAATTGAGTTAGTTTTTTATTGGTTGAATGAGTGGGTGATTGAACATTGAGTGCGATAGCGAGGGGAGTGCGGGCAGGAGCGAGGGGTCGAGGGCAGGAGTGGGGGTCGTACCGCAGTGAGGGTGATACCGAGACCGCCCGCCTTGGTGCTGAGCAGAAACACAAAGGACGCACTGCCTGGGGCTGAGAATCGGTCAATAGCAGCCTGCTCAAGTGTGTGTTGTGGGGGATGTGTGAGGTGGGGGAGAGGAACAGGAACACAGGAACACGAAGGACGCACTGCCTGGCACTGAAAACCGGTCAATAGCCGCCTGCATGCGTGTGTGAGATGGGGAAGGCGGGAGGAGGTATGGGGGATGGGTACAGGTTATGACGAGGTACGACAGGTTATGACGAGGTACGACAGGTTATGAAGAGGTATGAGGATGCGACACGACAATGGGTTCAGGATGCACTGCTTGGCGCTGAGGCTGAGAACAGCAGTCGATAGCCGCCTGGATGCATGTGGCTTTTGAGACGTCTCTTGAGACGACTTTTGAGAGGTCTCAAAAGCAGTCATTAGCCGCCCGCCTGCATGCGTGCATGCATGTGGAAAGGCGTCGCAATAAACCCTCTCTCCCAGCACAGCACAGCACAGCAAAGCACGCTCGCACGCACACACACATGCAGACGATAAAAAAAAAAACAAAAAGCGAGAGATAGATAGAGACATGTGAAAGCACGCACCTGGCGCTGCTCGCCCTTGGTGGAGCCATCGAGGCTTGAGATGGGTCAAATAAAAAGAAGAAAATATAATTGGGGCGTCTGAGAGCACGCACGCACCTGGCGCTGCTCACCCTTGGTGGAGCCATCGAGGCTTGAGATGGGTCAAGTAAAAAGAAGAAAATATAATTGGGGCGTCTGAGAGCACGCACGCACCTGGCGCTGCTCGCCCTTGATGGAGCCATCGAGGCGCTCGTAGATGTGACCGTTGGCCGTGAGATAGTCCTCCAGTAGGTCCAGCATTATCACAAACTGATGGTGGGGGAGGAGAGGAGGGAGAGGGGTGGAGTGGGGGGATGAGGGGAGAGGGATGGCCAGGAGGCTGGCCGTGAGATAGTCCCCCAGTAGGTCCAGCATTATCCCGAACTGACAACCAGCACAGCGATGGGGAGAGGAGGGACAGGGATAGGTAGGAGGTCAGTGAGATGGTACTGGAGCAGGTCCAAAATTATCCCGAACTGATGGTGAGGGTGCAGTGGGGCTTGCCATGAGAACGGAAGGGAGGAGCCAGTAGGGGGCTGTGCGGCTAGGATTGCAGCGGAGGGTGGGGGGCCGCAGGGAAGGGAGGGCGGGAAGGGGGAGCAGGAAGAGCAGAAGATGCAAGGAGGGCAGGGGAGGCAGCAAGGCACGAAGGGCAGCAAGTGCATGAGGGGCAGGGGGGACAGAAGGTACAGGGGCACAGGGGAGGTTGAACGGCACGGCACCCACCTGGGAGAAGATGAGGATGCGGTGGCCGGCGGTCTTGAGCTTGGGCAGCAGCTTGTCCAGCAGCACCATCTTGCCACTGCCCTGCACTAACATGCGCTGCCTCAGTGCTTCCCCATCCACTGCCACGCCCCCTGCTGCTGCTGCTGCTGGGGGTGACGTTGGTGGTGCTGGTGCTGGTGCTGCTTCCACAGCCGTGTCAGCAGCAGCAGCAGCAGCAGCAGCAGCAGCAGGAGGAGGAGGAGGAGCAAGCGCAGCAACATCCGCAGCAGGACCATCAGCAGCAGAGTCAGAAACTGGAGGCGGCAGAGCCAATGGGGTTGCTGTAGCCTCAGCGGTGGCAGCAGTGACAACAGCAGCGGCCGTAGCAGCAGTAGCAGTGGCGGCTGTAGCAGCAGCGTAGGCCTTGAGAACCATGTCCTCCTCCAGTCCGTTGCACAGGAAGGGGTGGTTGCACAGCTTGCGCAGCTCCATGGCCTGGTGAGACGCATGGGGAGATGAGACAGGGAGACGGGGAAGAGAAGGGGGTGAAGAAACGGTGGGAGGGTAGTGGAGGTGAGGGAATGTCAAGGCGGGCTGATACACGGGTGGTTGCACAGCGCAGCTCCATGGCCTGGTGAGGCGCCTCACTACTCTCACCAGGTTCCGCAGATTCAGCAGGATCTTGTTGGGCGCGCCCTGATCTTGGAGCAGCACCGTGATCTTGGAGGCTGCATGCAGGGCGCGTCCTAAAAAAACTTCAACCACCGCCTCCCCTATGCCCCACTCACCAGGTTCCGCAGATTCGGCAGGTTCTTATTCGACGCGCCCTGCAGCAGCGTGCCAATGCGGTTGCGGTAGAGCGCCTGGTAGTAGCGCCGCTGGTCTCGCGTCAACTCCACCCACACTATCACCTCCTCCTTGCGCGGTAGGCTCTTCTCCACGTCCTCCTTCATCCGACGCAGCAGCCTCGGCCGAAGCACCTCCTCCTGCAGCACCCGAACCTGCTCCGCGTCGGTGATGTTGCCGAACCGAGCCAGGAATTCAGCCTCGTCGCCGAACGTGGCTGGGTCGAGGACGTTTAGCAGGCCACTGAGTGGGGGGAGACACACGGGCGGGGGAACGGGGGCAGGGGAAAATGGGGGGAGGGGTATACGGGAGAATAGGGTATGGTTGAGGGCAGAGCAGGCGAGGGGCAAGCGAGAGAGGGAGTGAGGGAGGGGGCGTGTGAGAGAAGGGAGGGGCTGGGAAGAAAGGGCGGATGAGGGGAAAGCGGTTGAGGGGAGTCATGGGGCGATGAGAGAAGGGAGGAGCGGGGAAGAGACAGATAATAGGAGCGGCACCACTCCACTCCCACCAACCGCTTACAGCACCACCCCACTCCCCCCAACCACTTGCAGCACCACCCCACTCCCCCCAACCGCTTGCAGCACCACCTCACTCCCCCCAACCGCTTAGCACGCACAAGAGCTCGCGTGTGTTGTTCTGCACGGGTGTGCCTGTGAGCAGCAGCAGGCCCCCTCGCCTGATGCACAGCTCCTTGAGTGCAGCCGTTGTCTTGGCCGTCGTGCTCTTCATGCTGCCACGAAGGGAAGGAAACAGCCAACAGAAAGTATAGTGAGCAGCAGCAGCAGGGCCCCTCGCCTGATGCCCAGCTCCTTGAGAGCAGCTGTTGTCTTGGCCGTCGTGCTCTTCATGCTGCCGATACAGGGAGACGGAATGAGGGTGGGAGAAACAGCCAACAGAAAGTATAGTGAGCAGCAGCAGCAGGCCCCCACGCCTGATGCACAGATCCTTGAGCGCTGCTGTGGTCTTGGCTGTCGTACTCTTCATGCTGCCACACAGAGGAGATGGAATGAGGGAAGGGAAATGAGGGGGGGACAAAAGGCAGAGGACAAGTGAAGAGATATGGAATGGAGAGAATAAAGTGGAGAGCACACATTAGCACACCAGGTCACAGCATGCTGCGTACTTATAAATCGAACTCACACCACTACTTCCCCAGCAACTGTTACTCACTTAAACCTCCCTCATCCCTGTCACTGCTGTGCCCCATCTCTCACAGCTCACCAGCCCAAACCAGAAACAGACCTATTAACCTTCCTATTGCACTAACCAGTGCGCCTCATTTCTCTCACCAGTAATCCACTCAACTCTTACCCTCCCATCCCTCTCTCTCACCGGTGTGCCTCGTCCACAATGCACATCCTCAACCGCTCTGTTTCACCTCTCACCGGTATACCATTCCACTTCAACCCTCCTATCCCACTCTTTCATCTCTCACCGGTGAGCCTCATCCACAATGCACATCTCCCACCGCACGTCCTTAATCTCTCACAGGTACACCACCCCACTCCACACCACCCCACTCCAACCATTCTATCCCTCCCTCTATCTCTCCTCACCGGTGTGCCTCGTCCACGATGCACAGCTCCCACCGCACGTCCCTCAGAGGCTTGCGGTCCTTCTGCAGGATCTCGAAACTCGTCAGCACCACCTGAGAGACGCCACGGCAACACGCAGGTGAAACCTCAGGTGATTTCAACAAAAGAGCTCAAGCCAACACTAGACAGGGGATATTGCAACATCCAACAAATAAACATGCACGCCCCCCAGCAGTCACGCCAGTCACTTTTTTTTTTCCCCCATCTGCCCAAATCCCCACCCATCCTGATAAAGTAACTCGCGAACCTCCCTCTCCCCAGTTCCCATCCCCTACCTTTTCCTCTCCTCCCTCCCCCCCTTTCCCGTCTCCCCCCAGCCCCCCCGCGCCGTCTCGCCCCCCGTTCCCCTCCGCGCAACTCACATGCGCGCGCACGCCGCGGCCGCTGGGGTGCGCGAGCTCGTGCTCGCGGATCAAGGCGCGGTCGTCCTTAGACCCGACGAACGGCACGCAGTTAATCTCCGACGACGAGAGCGACTCCAGCTCGCGCTGCCAGTGCGGGAGCGTGGACACCGGCGCTACCACCAGGAACGGCCCGCGCACGCCCGTGCGCAGGCGCACCGCCTCCAGCAGCGCGACGGACTGCGCGGAGTCGGGTGGGGGGGGGTGGGGGAGAAGGGAAAGACGGGGGGGGGGGAGGGGAAGGGTGAGGGGGAAGGGTGCGCGGAGAGCGGGGACGATTTGGGAAGCGGGTGAGACGGGGAACGGTGGGAAAGGAAAAAAGGGAAGGGAGAAGCGGGAAGGTGAGGGTGGGAGGAGGGGAAGAGGGGTGAGGGGATGGAACTTGGACGGGAAGCGCAGTCGGCGCGGAGAACGATTTTGCGGAGAGGAGCAAAACTTGGGTAGATGGGACGGGAAGTGAAGGCAGGGATGGGGTAAATGGACGACGTTGTGTTGAATGACGAGAAAAACAATTAGTGGCGCTTTCCCACACATCCCACCCAGTCCTCCCCCTTCTCCCCTCTTCCCTTCTTCTCCCCGCTTCTTCCCCCCACCACCCTTTCTCCCCTCTTGCCGGTCCCCACCACCACTCCTCCCCTCCCCCACCCCCTTCCCCCCGCGCACCTGCATCGTCTTCCCCAGCCCCATTTCGTCTGCCAAAATGCAATTCACGCCCTTGTTGTAGTTGTGATACAGCCAATCAACGCCCGCCACCTGGTACTCGCGCAGCGTGCGCCCGTTCTTAAACTCCACCCTCGTCGACGCCGGCTCTCCGCGTTTCACGGCCACCGGAGCGCGCCGCCGCATCGCGGCTTTATCGTAGAAGGTGTGAAACTTTTCGACTGCCCGGACATCGTCCGGATCGTCCCGAAGCGCGCTGTCGTCCTCCCACGTGGCCGCCGTGTATGGAAGCGCCTTCCACTTGACCAAGTAACGCATCGCGTCCTTTTTCCGCCCACGCTTCGTGCTTATAACGCGGTCCACACGCAGGTAGTCCGGATCGAACGGAAGAACCAGATCCGACTCAGCACCGACGATCTCCACGTCAGCGTCATCGTTCGGCTCGGCACTCGCGCCGCTGGCAGGAGCAGGACCGTCTTTGACAGCGCCGCGGGCGGCGGTGGAGCGCTGGCGGAAGGACATGAGGAGACGGGGGAATTGCTCCTGCAGCGCAGCTTCCGCCATCCACACCACGTCGCGGTAACTCCGCCCGACTAGCTTCACCAGGAAAACCGGCGCTGGTGACACCGCAGCAGTCACCTCAGCGGTCGCTGCAGGAGCCTCTGCAGCAATCACCGCAGCAGTCGCCGCGGCTGATGCTTCTTCCTCCGCCGCCGCGCCCTCCTCTCCGGCTGCGCTCGTTCCCCCTTCTGCGCTTGCTTTCGGCCCGCTGTCCGCTCTTTCCGCGGACGGTCGTTCCGCGGGCTGGCGCGCCAGAAGCACCTTCTCCACCAGGGCGGGGGGCTTCGTTACGAGCGGTCGCGATAAAAGCCACGCACTATCCGCGATAATGGCCGCCGTCTTCGAGCCCGGATCTTGGTTCTCCTTCGCCGTCTCTTTGGTCTTCCGCGTGACCCCCTCCTGCGCGCGCTGCTTCCGCCGCTCGCGCGCCCTGGCGGTGGACGACGCCGGCAAGACCGCGGCGGCTTCCGCCGCCGCCGCCGCCGCTGCCGCAGCAGCAGCAGCCGCGGGAGAAGAAGCGTTACCGGTGGTGATTGACTGGAGGCGAGACGATCTCCGTCGACCTTGCTCCGGCTCTGGCGATACTGTGGCTGCCTTTTGCCACCCTTTCTTGCCCTTACCTCTGGTTTCTTTCTCCTCCTCTTCTTCCTCGTCTTCCTCTTCTTCTTCATCCTCTTCTTCCTCCGCTTCATCCTCTTCTTCCTCCTCTTCCTCCTCATCATCCACTTCTCCTTCCTCCTTTTCTTCCTCGCCATGCTCCTGTTCGTCCGTTTCCTCCTCCTCTTCTTCCTCCACTTTCTCTTCCTTTTCCTCCTCAGCTCCAGCCTCCACGCCACGTTGAACGTTACTCTCCTTCGCAGAGTCGCCTACGCCCGAGTCGCGCCTCGTCAGCTTCTTGCTACCCGGCAACGAACTCGCCACTCGCTGCACTTGTCCGCGAGATGCCGCCGCCACTTCCTCGTCCCCGCGCTTACCCGCCAAACCGCCTGCGCTTCCGCCTTGCTTGCCTTGCGCCCGCGCGGAGTCCGCCTCCGGATGTCCTCTCAGCCGCGGAGACTGCCTGCGCGCCGAGTTTTTAGCATTGGCATTCCGGGGGGCAGCTTTTCCGGCAGGCTTGCTGCATCTCTTCGCGGGCAGTTTCCCCCCACCGATATCCTCATCGTCGTCACTAGAAATCTCCAGCATTTCTTCTTCGTCTTCACTCGCCTCCGTCTTATTCCCGTCCTTCTCGCCGCCTCGTGGCTTCGCGTCCGTCGCGTCCTTGTCCACGCGAACCGTCGCCGGCTCCGCCTCCTCTTCTTCGTGCTCGTTTTCGTCATTCTCGTCGCCATTACCCTCGCTGCTATCCTCTCCGTCGCCATCACTCTCCGCCTCCTCCTCGCCCGTTTCGACCGCGTCATCGCTGTCCTCCTCCGCGCCCTCCGCGTCCTCCGCATCCTCCGTCTCCCCGTCACTCCCATCCGAACCCTCGTCGCTGTCGCCGTCACTCTCGTCCTCGCTACCTTCGTAATAACTGGCCGGGCCGGCAGTGCGCGATCTTCCGGATCGCCTTTGACTGCCATTGCAACCCTGAGAGCCGTTCTCATTGTCGCCTTCATCTGCCTCGTTTGTCAGTCTCGACGACTTTCTGCGAGCGGCTTTCGCCATGGCTCCTGCGCCTCGACCGCGGATCTCCGGTCTTTGCAAAGCTACCTTTCCCGCTTTAACTTCACGTTCTGGCGTTTTTCCCGAGCCGACCACCGCTGCTTCGTCTCCAGGTGTCATCGGGGCAGCGTTTTTCGCGTCGCTGGTTCTATTTGAAAAATCCGCAGCAGAATTATCTGGGAAAATGGAGGGAGTGGAAGTTTCTCCGCCAACCAGCGCCTTGTTCTTCCCAGATGCTGCTAGCCCATTGGAATCATCGACGCAAATAGCAGTCATGACAGAAGGGGGACGAGAGTTGTTGTCGTGTACTAAGAGCCAATGCAGGGCGAAGATGCAAGGGAATGGAACCGGAATTCGGACATGGAAGCAAGTCGCGCTATCTTCGAGTTCAGACGCGGCAAGGTGAGGTGCCACCAGGAGGCTTCTGCTCTGGCGTATTCGAGACGACTGGAATGATAAGTATTGAGAGTGAGAATGCACACAGAAAGACCTAGATTCTATGCTTTTGAAAGAGAACACAAAAGCTGAAAGGCGGGCAAATCGCGGGAGCAGCTGGTGGGTTTGGTGGGATGCGCCAGAGAACCAAAATCGTGGGGAACCGAGCCGCATGTTCGGCTTCGTATTCAAACACAGAATTTGAATTGCTGAGGAATTCTTTCCCAGTATTCCAGTTCAAAAGTTTGAACTGGACGATTGTATCAGAAGCTGTGGCTGGATTCGATTGAGAGTTGATGTATACACCGCATGCACTTTCATGCATATATGTTGTCAACAACTACGACAGAATTCGCAATATTGGAATGTGCTGCTGTCTCGAACATTCTTTTCACGCTGGTGAGCTCCTTGATTGTGTGTGCATCCAAGCTGGATAGGGTTCGTGCCACAAAAAGTTCAGGCACCTATCGGATTCTACTTTTCTTCCACGTGGGATAGCCTCGTCACAGAAGTTCGCAGTTATCTCCTAGGTTCGTTGCACACTAACCGGGCCGCGAGCTTCTCCTCCCAAGCCTCCACCTCGTTCACCCAATCAGGAGCCGCTTAGCGTGAAAGGGACCCACTTCTTGTCCTTGGCCTTTCGAACTCCAAAGGGTCATTCAATACGCCCACAATCTTCCCAGCCATTATGATTGGCAGAGAAGCTGGGTTATGGGGGGTTGGGGGCATGTCGTCATGAGATGGAAGCAGGGCCCAACTCCCCAAACAAGTGTCAACGCGGTGCGACAGTCGAGATGGAACATGCGCCACGAGATTTGAAGACAAAAACAGGTTTTTGGTTCCCTTCCCTCCCCATCCCCGTAATATTCTTGTATGTGAGGGGATCTCGAGAGAAAAGCAGACTCGAGAGACGGAACAGTTTTGACTTGCGGTGGATGCTGTTTTGACCTTCCATCGTTTCTCGACAATGCTCCTCCAGCCTCTGACGCGCGGATTAGTAGATCCCGCTGCAATCGTTTCTCGTCAAAACTTAAATCTGAAAGGGTTTTATGTCCCCACTTTTGCATTCGGTTCGCAACATAGTAGTAACACGGACGTCGTCGCAAAGACATAAAGGTCGATCTGGCGCGGTCGAATCTAGAACAGCATCGGCGGCGTCCGCAAATCTGGTGCGCGCGTGCAAGCGCCGCTCCTATTCGAATCATACGCAACATTCTCATGCAACAGTATAATTAATCGATAGATCCTCGCTCTGGCTCCCTCGTCTATAGTTTCTAGTAAGCGTCTTCCAGTGGAACGCGTCCACGAGGCTCGTAGCTGGCAAGGCATCTCGTGGCGGGAAAGTCATCGCAATAACCTTCTCGTCTGCTCGTGTTCTTTGAAGAAGCGCGCGCATGCTTCCGCATCCACACTGGAGACGTTTGAGAACGTAGGAATTTTGCGAAAGCCGCCGCTGCCGGGGTTCCGACTTCAGCGTTTCGATTCGGAAATCCGCATTTCATCACCGCTAGTACGACTATTCTGGCTATTAACAGTGCTGCGCGTTGCCTCTTTAAAAGAGGCGGATTTCCGTGCCCATGCGCTCCCCTCTCCCCCCGTTCCGCCATCCCGCTCCGCGAAACTCTCCGCAATCCGCGGCGGCGCCACCACCGCCGCCCTCGTCGCTTGTGCCGCCCATCTCAGTGTTCCCGATGACAACGGCGACAATCCCGGCGCCGAGTCCGCCTGGCCTTCCGCCCATCGGCGCGGCTGCGCCAACTGGGTTCGCGCTGAACATAGCGTATCCCGCATGTTACGCCGCAACTCCCGCTATGGCCTTCGTCGGCAATCACCCTATGATGGCCGCAGCTGCCGCTGCTGCTGCAGCCGCGTCGGGACAGCACCAGGCAGTCGTGTCAGGAGGAGGGGGGAGTTTCGGTGCAGACGGAGGGGGAGGGGGGGATCCTAGCTGTGGCGGAGGCGCGGGTGGGGGTGGAGGGGGAGGTGGCCGGGGGAGCGGCATTGGCTCGCGGACGGGGATTTGCGCGGCGAAGCACATGGAGGCGGAGCAGAGGCGACGCGCGAGGATCAACGAAAGGTGCTAGTCATGTGCTATTCGTGGTGACGGTGGTACCATCAATCTGTGTGATGATGCTCCTATGTTGCTCCTATGTTGCTCCTATGATGCTCCTAAGATGCTCCTATGATGCTCCTATGATGCTCCTTGCTCCTATCATGCTCCTATCATGCTCCTGTGGTGCTCCTCCTAGTAGTTCTATTGGTGACTACTCGTAGTGCTACCACGGATTTATGTTTGTACTGAAATACTGTGCTCCCCTCTACCCACCGCCCCCTTCCCTAGTCCGCTCCTTGTTCCTTTGAGCTCAGTCGAAATTTCCAGAACAGCGTCCCTTCAACCTGAAGCATAACTTTTGAATCGACTCGAGAGTCACCTCGTTGCTCTAGCCTAAGCGTTATTGATATAGAGCTGACTCGGTACTTGCATTACTATTACCCGTGGTCGCTCCGCTAGAAGTCGAGACGAGACTTTGAAGTCCACACAAAGCCCACGCCGGCGGCCGTGCTTCTGGAAATATCTTTTGAGGTGCCTCTGGAAGGCCTCAAAAGGGCTCAGAAAGCGCCTCAAAAGACAAGCCCTTTTGACTCGCACTGACGATCAGGTTTTTTAGAATTCTCAAAGACGAAAAGACAAGCCCTTTTGACTCGCACTGACGATCATGCTTCCACATCTGGAACCTCCGGCTTTCATCTCTCTTCCTTTTTGCCTGTTCGCTTAACCTCCCCTACCCAATCCTGTTTTTCTGTTTTCCTCCCTCTTCCTTCCCTCTCTTCTCTGCCGTTGCTGCCAGTTTGGACGCTCTGAAGAGTTTGGTGCCACACCATGCGCAGCAACACAATATATATGGGACATCAGTTGTGTTATTTTCTCCTTTCCTCCGTCTCCCCAACTCCCCGGTTCTCCGGTTCCCCTCTGTTCCACCGTTGCTGCGCCCCTCGTCTCCTCTCGCCGCCGTTTGGACGCTCTGAAACGATTGGTGCCACATCACGCGCGCAACAACACAGCAGCGTTCCTGACTTGAGTCGACTCAAAAGTCTTCTTTCCCCTTTTTGTCGGTTGTTGCTGCTCCCATCGTCTCCGTTCGCCGCAGTTTGGACGCGCTGAAGCGGTTGGTGCCGCATCACGCGCGCAGCAACACAGCCGCATTCCTGGTGGAGGTGTATGGGTACATTGAACGGCTACAGGAGAAGCTGGGGCGACTAGAATCCAAGGCCGCTGCTGCTGCTGCTGCTGCTGCTGCTGCTGCTGCTGCTGCTGATGGTGCTGCTTCTGCTGCTGCTGCTGCTGGTGCTAGTGCTGCTGCTGCTGCTGCTGCTGCTTCTGGTGCTGGTGCTGGTGATGGTGGCGCTGCTGTTACCGCTGCTGGTGTTGGTGGTGGTGCTGCTGCTGCTGCTGCTGGTGGCGATGGTATTAGGGCCGCATCTCCTGGTGCTGGTGGTGGTGGTTCGACTGCTGCTACTACTGCCACTGCTTCTGGTGCTTGTGCCCCTGCTGCTGTTGCATCGGAGTTAGTAGGAGGAAGCACGAGAGCTGTTTCTGGTTGTGCTCCTGCCGATGCTGCTGCTGCAGCTGCAACCGCTGGCGCCGCTGCTGCTGCTGCTGCTAACGCAGCTGTTGCTGCTAATGGTTGTGTCAGAGCTACAAATCAGAAGCACAGTGATGCTACTCCTGCTGCAGATGATCTTTTACCTCCTCTTGCTGACGCGCCTGCTACTGCTGCTGCTGGTTGTGGTGGCATGAAATCAACGGGGGCGCCTAATATGGTTGCGCGCATTGGTTTGAACAAGGGAGAAGCAGAGATGAGAGGATTGGGAGCGGCAGAGGCGAGAGGAGTGGGAGCGGCAGAAGCGCGGGGAGTGGGAGCGGCAGAGGCGCGGGGAGTGGGAGCGAGCGAAGAACAGGATGAAAGGGAAAGAGGGAATAGAGGTGGGAGTGATGGGGATATTCGGAACGGCAGTCAGTCTTGGGGGCGGAAGGGAAGCAGGAAACGGAAGAGAGCAGAGAGGGGGCTACAGAGAGGGAGGGAAAGGGCAGGAGGGACAGAGGAAAGGAGAGTGGAAGCAGGGTATGGGGGAGAAGAAGGAAGGGGGGTGGAAGGAGCAGGGTTGAGGGAGATGGGAAGGGCGAGGAGGGAAGAGAGAGGTGGAGATGGGTGGAGGGAGGTGGAGTTGGTGTTTCCAGATGCAGGCGAGAGAATGCGCAGGAAAAGGGAGAGGGGTGGGAGGGAGAGGAGGGGCGGAGGGGAGGGGGTGATAGGAGGGGACATGGGGACGGGAGGGGGGGGGAGGATGGGTGGGGAGCAGTGGATGGGAAGGGAGGGAGGGCAGGGCATGGGGCATGGCATGGGGCATACCCGGATAGATTTAAACGTGATGGTTGATGCAGGTGATGAGAGCAATTACAGGGACATAGGGGGGGGGAAACGGCATTGGAGAGCAGTGGCGCATGGGGTAACACTGGGTGGGAGGGTGCGGAGGGGGGGCATGAGACATGGGGAGGGACATGGGGAGGGACATGGGGAGGGACATGGGGAGGGACATGGGGAGGGACATGGGGAGGGACATGGGGAGGGACATGGGGAGGGACATGGGGAGGGACATGGGGAGGGACATGGGGAGGGACATGGGGAGGGACATGGGGAGGGACATGGGGAGGGACATGGGGAGGGACATGGGGAGGGACATGGGGAGGGACATGGGGAGGGACATGGGGAGGGACATGGGGAGGGACATGGGGAGGGACATGGGGAGGGACATGGGGAGGGACATGGGGAGGGACATGGGGAGGGACATGGGGAGGGACATGGGGAGGGACATGGGGAGGGACATGGGGAGGGACATGGGAGGGACATGGGGAGGGACATGGGGAGGGACATGGGGAGGGACATGGGGAGGGACATGGGGAGGGACATGGGGAGGGACATGGGGAGGGACATGGGGAGGGACATGGGGAGGGACATGGGGAGGGACATGGGGAGGGACATGGGGAGGGACATGGGGAGGGACATGGGGAGGGACATGGGGAGGGACATGGGGAGGGACATGGGGAGGGACATGGGGAGGGACATGGGGAGGGACATGGGGAGGGACATGGGGAGGGACATGGGGAGGGACATGGGGAGGGACATGGGGAGGGACATGGGGAGGGACATGGGGAGGGACATGGGGAGGGACATGGGAGGGACATGGGGAGGGACATGGGGAGGGACATGGGGAGGGACATGGGGAGGGACATGGGGAGGGACATGGGGAGGGACATGGGGAGGGACATGGGGAGGGACATGGGGAGGGACATGGGGAGGGACATGGGGAGGGACATGGGGAGGGACATGGGGAGGGACATGGGGAGGGACATGGGGAGGGACATGGGGAGGGACATGGGGAGGGACATGGGGAGGGACATGGGGAGGGACATGGGGAGGGACATGGGGAGGGACATGGGGAGGGACATGGGGAGGGACATGGGGAGGGACATGGGGAGGGACATGGGGAGGGACATGGGGAGGGACATGGGGAGGGACATGGGGAGGGACATGGGGAGGGACATGGGGAGGGACATGGGGAGGGACATGGGGAGGGACATGGGGAGGGACATGGGGAGGGACATGGGGAGGGACATGGGGAGGGACATGGGGAGGGACATGGGGAGGGACATGGGGAGGGACATGGGGAGGGACATGGGGAGGGACATGGGGAGGGACATGGGGAGGGACATGGGGAGGGACATGGGGAGGGACATGGGGAGGGACATGGGGAGGGACATGGGGAGGGACATGGGGAGGGACATGGGGAGGGACATGGGGAGGGACATGGGGAGGGACATGGGGAGGGACATGGGGAGGGACATGGGGAGGGACATGGGGAGGGACATGGGGAGGGACATGGGAAGGGACATGGGGAGGGACATGGGGAGATAGAAGCAGGGAGCATGGAGCAAGGGGGGGTGATGGGGGGAAGAAGTTGTGCGGATGGGGAGGGAGCGTTGGCTGGAGGGGATTGGAGAGGGGAGGGGTGGGTGGGAGGATGGAGAGTAGGAGAGGAGAGGGGTGATGGTGGGGTGGGGGATGGGGAAAGAGGGGGGCAGGATGGATGTGGGAGGGTTATGAGATACACAGCTGATGGGGTGGATGGGGGGGGTGGGGCGGATGGGGGGGATGGGGGTGATGGGGGTGATGGGGGTGATGGGGGTGATGGGGGTGATGGGAATGGAGTGAGTATGCGAGGCAGACAGGCGAATGAGTGTGTTGATACCAGCAGTGCTCCCGCGCGCACAGAGCAGGGGAAGGATGTGAGGAGAGGAGGGAGTTATGGCTGCAGAGGTAGAGGGAGCAGGCGAAATAGCTGTTCAGAGGCACAGGTACATGGGGGGGAGACTTTTGAGTATTCTCAAAGAATCACTCAAAAGCCACTTAGAAATAGGAGAGTCGGTTCAGAGGCACGGGTAGAGACTTTTGAGGCGCCTAAGAGTTCAGAGGCACAGGTACAGGGTGGTGAAGAGGAGGAGAAGGAGAAAGAAGAGAAGGGGAAGGAGGAGGCGGATGACGAGGAGGAGGATGATGATGAGGAGGAGGGAGACGAGGAAGAGGAGGAGGATAAGGTGGATGAGGGGGATGAGGGGGATGAGGGGGACGATGGGGATGGGGGAGATGAGGGGGACGATGGGGATGGGGGAGATGAGGGGGACGATGGGGATGGGGGAGATGAGGGGGACGATGGGGATGGGGGAGATGAGGGGGACGATGGGGATGGGGGAGATGAGGGGGATGATGGGGATGATGGGGATGATGGGGATGATGGGTCCAAGCATAAATCCGAGGAGCAAGAGGGAGAGGATGGTGGTGAGAGTTCGTCGAAACCAGTGGGAGAGGTCACAGGCATGAGCGTTTCTGAGAACTTTCAAAAGCGGCTCAGACTGTGCGTTACTGCTGCTGGAAATCACAGTGGGAGTGCTTTAGAGGCACCTCAAAAGGCGCCTCAAAAGCGGCTCAGACTGTGCGTTACCGCTGCTGGAACTTACAGTGGGAGTGCTTTAGAGGCGCCTCAAAAGGTGCCTCAAAAGCGGCTCAGACTGTGCGTTACCGCTGCTGGAAATCGCAGTGGGAGTGCAGAGGTGAGGCGGAGTGGGGGTGCTGTTGCAGGGGCGGGAGGGAGGGATCGTGGTGCTGCTGAGGGGGGCGCAATGGCAGCTGAAACGGATGCACTGACGGCAATGGGGACACAGACGCACGCACAGGCACAGGCACAGGCACAGGCACATGCACAGGCACAGGCACAAGCACAGGCACAGGCACAGGCACAGGCACAGGCACAGGCACAGGCACAGGCACAAGCACAGGCACAGGCACAGGCACAGGCACAGGCACAGGCACAGGCACAAGCACAGACACAAGCACAGACACAGGCACAGGCACAAGCACAGGCACAAGCGCAGGTACAGGCACAGGCACAAGCGCAGGTACAGGCGGAGGCACAGGCACAGGCACACGCACACGCACACGCACACGCACACGCAGTGGCAGCGGAAGGGGGGAAAGCGGTGGGACAAAGCATGGCATACAGGCAGGAGCAAGGCGAAGCAGCATTGAGAAGAGAGCAACATGTGGCACCACGAACAGAGGCAGCACGTGTTGTGGCAGCAGCAGCAGCAGCGGCACGCGCCACCACTTGTGGTGCTACCCTTGCTGCTCCTGCTGCTGCTGCTGCTGCTCCAGCTGCTGCTCCTGCTTCTCCTGCTGCTGCTGCTGCTCGTAGTGACACTGAATTTGCTGCGGGTGTTCCTTCTGGTGCCCAGCTGTCCCAGGCGTCCCCTCCTATTACCAACACGCCTGCTGCGCCTCCTGCCCCTGCCCCTGCTACTGCCGCTGCTGTTGTTAGAGCAACAGTTACCATGGGCTCTGTTGCTACTGCTGGCGCTGCTGCTGCTGCTGGTGTTGGTGTTGGTGTTGGTGGTGGTGCTGCTGCTAGTGCTGCTGTGTCTTCTGTGGCTAAGGGAACTGGTAGAAACCGGTAAGAAAGGATCAGGCGTTCTTCTGAGTGTTCTTGAGAAATCACTGCATCACGCAACTTATTCGAGTCATCTTGGGTCATCAGCAAAACCCGTTTCCTGATAAACCCTTTCTTTGTTAAACCCTTTTTTTCTTTTTTTCTTTTTTTGCCTACTTCTTACATGTCTCCGCGTTTTTTTGCTTTTCTTGACCCTGCTCCCATTTTCTCAGCAGGCATAGAGGATCAGCAAAAGCAAGAATCGGAGAAGCAACATTAGCATCAGCAGCAGCAGCAGCAGCAGCAGCGGCCGCAACAGCCACAGTGGGACCTCTCCCTACCCCAACAGCAACGCTAACCTTCCCAGCATCCTTCCCCACCACCACCACCACCCTCCCAGTCACCTTCCCATCGTCTTTCCCCCTCCCGCTCTCATTTATTCCGCCGCTCCCACAACCGTCATCACCAGCAGTTTCAGCAGCAGCAGTGGCTGATGCTGCCGCTATAGCACGGCAGTGGGGAGTGGCAGCAGCAGCGGCGCATATACAGGCCCAGGCAGCAGCACAGGCACATGCACAGGTGCAAGCGATGGTGCAAGCAGCAGTGGCAGCAGGTGGTGCAGGTGTTTCTGTGGCCTTTGAGAATTCTCCGAATGCTCTTGCAGTGCCAGCTGTAGGTGGTACAGGTGTTTCTGTGCTCCCCGCCCCTGCTCCTCCTGCTCTTCCTGCTGCTGCTGCTGCCGCCGCTCCTGCTCCTGCTCCTCCTCCTGCTTCTGCTGCTCCTCCTCCTGCTTCTGCTGCTCCTCCTCCTGCTGCTGCTGCTGCTCCTGACCAACCCACTTCCACAACCGCAATCAGTAGTGGTAACCTTCTCTGGTCTGATCCTGTCCCTGCTCCCGCTCCCCCTTCTCCTAGTGCTTCTGCCGCGTTTTGACACATCTCATCTCAAAACGAAAGGCCTCCGCACCGCAGCCCACCTGTCCGCTATTGACTTGACTGCCCCGGCTCATCCTGTCCCTGCTCCCATTGCCCCTTCTCCTAGTGCTTCTACTGCTGCCCCTCGCCTTGCCTCCGCAAACCCTAGATAAGCCCCTCCAGCCCCTCTGGTAGCTCTTAGTAAATGGAACCAAGTGAGTGAGGTGTATCAGGATAGGTACTACGGTATGATTGTGACACGCACATACCAGACATGTAACAGGGGTTTTGTGATAGGTTTGTGTCCCCATCATAATGTTTGTTGCTATATGTGAATTCCAATAATGCATTCCTATACACGCATCCCCCACTATGTGATAGGTTCCTATGCATTCCTATTCGTTTGCAAAACGAAGCATGCTAACTCACACAGGATGCCAGAAGCAGAAAACACTAGTTATTACCACATCAGCTAGCAATGGGAAGGAAACCACAAATACTCCCACAGGTTAGGCACACACAACATCTCCAAAAAATGTTCCCCCTCTCACCACATGTCCCTACCACACCATGCAGTTGTCCTCCACTCCACCACTCCACCACATCACACCCCATAACACCACATCGCACCGCATACCACATCACGACACCACACACAGCACATGACATCATTCAAGCTAGAGAGCACCTATGGTTGGCAAGCTTGGCGAGATTGGCTTGCAGTTGCAGGCCAACTCCTTCCAGCACCAAAGAAAGGTGCTCGGATGCTGCTCAGTGCTCACCTGCTCTAGAGACCAGCTAAGGAAAGCATTGCAAGAGCTACAGCCCAACCAACCAACCCCATACAGAGACGCGCTACAGCCTACAGCCCCATCCCACAAGAGGCTCTACACTACAGCCAAGGCCATAAGAGAGGCGCTACAGAAGTCACACAGGCAGCGTGCCTCAGTGCACCTCCCCCCACCACCACCACCATCATCATCATCTTGATCTTGTCGTTCGCTACAACGCCCAGCGCGCGCGCACAGCGCCTACAACGGCCAGTGCCCACAGCGCCCGCAGCGGCAAGAGTAGCAAGACCGCCACGATTGCCAGCTGCATTCACAGCTTCTATACAGTGATTGCAGAGAGGTGTAGAGTACGGAGAGAGAGAGTGGATAAGACAGGAGGAAACACACACAGGGGAGGTAGAGTAAGCTAGGAATGGATTGGGATGTGTGAGGAGAACGAGACAGAAAGCACAAAAGGGAGATGTGAGATGGTTGGAGAGGAGGGGAAGGTAAGGAAAGAGAAGGAATGTGAGGAGAGCAAAGGGAGCGAGAAAGAAGAGACCATGAAACTTCTCACCCCATCACACGCCCCACCTTTCTTTATAGCGATCGCCGGCCGAGCCACCGCAAGCCCTTCATTGCAATCAAGGAGTTGGCATCCGGGATAAACCCACCACCACCGCCACTCCCACTCCCACCACCACTACCCCCACCACCACCACTCCCCGAACCACCACTCCCACTGCCACCACCACCACCCATAACCCCTCCCATGCCCCTCCCATGCCTCCACGCCGGTCCCATCATCATCACGCCTCTCTTCCCCCTCCGTGCCTTCTCCACCTGAGAAAAATCCCCCATAATCTCCTCCAAAAGCTGCTCCATCACCATCTCTTCAAGCGAAAACACTGACATTAGAGCCTCAGCACTCGTATCCGCCCATTTATCCAGCCCCCGGGCCATATCCCTCCTCGCAGCATCGTCCAGAATATCATAAACCTCGTCCGAAGCAGGAACCGGCCAGTCGTGAACCTCCTCCCAAACCTCCAGCAGCAGAGCCTGCCCCTCGGGCCTGGGCCGAACCAGCGGCACCTGCTGCACCGCCGCCAGCCACAGGGACGCCTCCAGGAACGGCCCGAGCCTCCTTCCCAACGCCTCGTTGACTGCATCAAAGAGAAGCCGGCGCTGACGTCGCTCCTCCTGCCGCCTTGCCTGGTCTGCGGCAATCCAGGCTGGGTCGTCTGGACGGACTCCAGGAGGTGGGGCAGGTGAGGGGCATGAGAGGGTGATTCCGAGCTCTAGTTGCTCAAAGACTGGTGGGGGGATGGGGAGGCGGAGCGAGTGGATGGGCGGGTACGGAAGGTTCTGCTGATACTGCACCTCCTGCTGCTGCTGCTGCTGCTGCTGTTGACCGTACTGGTTCTGGTTCTGCTGCTGCAGCTGGTTCTGCTGCTGTTGGTTCAAGCCAACAAAGCCAGAGACAACAAGGATATGGCGAAGGTACTCTAGATCTTGCTCCATGCCCTCTATGTCGCCCAGACACTCCATCAGCCCTGGGTCTGTAAGCAAATCCATCGGGTCAACGGGGTCAATGGAGTCAACGGGGGCAGTGGGGACTGCTAGGAGTTCCCTGGTGCTGGTGGTGGTGGTGCTGCTGGTGTTGGAGCTGTTGCTGTTGCTGCTGCTGTGAGGGATGATGGCGGTAGGAGGAGGAGAGGGAGAAGGAATAGGAGCAGGGAGATGAGGTTTGCCACCACTGCTGCTCGCTTGTGCCACCGCAATACCACTGCCACCACCTCTGCTGCTACCGATTCCCTGCTGCTGCCTCTGCTGAGCAGCAGCAGCAGCAGCCGCCGCGCCAGCAGGAGGCATCTGTTCAGGCTTGCACGGGGGGGGAGTGGGCACGGTAGGCTTTACACCCCCTGGGACTCCACGCCTAGGAGTGTCAGCCACGGCTGTAGCAGCTGTGGCAGTTGTAGCGGCAGCGGTAGTGGCAGCAGCAGCAGCAGAAGCAGGGCCAGGAGTGGACCTACCATTGTAACCATTCCGGCCACTACCCACTCCACCAGCTTCAACCACCCTCCCACCACCAGCCGCACTGGTGGCACCAGCAGCAGCAGTGGCAGCAGCTCTGCCAGCACTACCGGCATTCTCACCCCCACCTGCGAGCTTCCCCAGCATGAGCCATGACTTGCCGCCCGGCACCACTGCATCCAGCAGCGCTGCTGCTGCTCCTGCTGCTCCTTGCACTGCCGCCCCCTTCCCCTTCACAGCCCCAACCGAATGCTCCGAGAGCTTGCTCACAGACCCCTGCCTAGGCTTCACCAGCGCACTCGCCTCCTCCTCTTCCTCTCCTTCCTCCTCGTCCTCCTCACCTTCCTCTTCCTCTTCATCATCCTCATCCTCTTCCTCCGCTTCCTCCTCTTCCTCTTCATCATCCTCATCCTCTTCCTCCGCTTCCTCCTCTTCCTCTTCTTCTGCCGATACCTCCTCCCCTGCTCCGCTTACAGTGCGAGACAGCAGTGGGCTGGCAACGCCGATTTGCAACTCCCCACTGAGCCACACTCTCTCCTTGCGCTCACTCATACTCCTCTCGCCCTCTCCTCTGCTCAGCACACTCGCAGCACCCTCCCCACCCGCTTGCTCCCCCTCGCTCCCCTCCTCCTCATCCTCCTCATCCTCCTCATCCTCCTCCTCTTCTTCCTCCTCCGCTTTCCCCTCCTCCTCAGCCATATCTTCCTGCTGCTGCTTCCAGTCCAGCGATTTAAGCGGCCATCCGAATTGCAGCGGCCCATCATCCTCCTCCTCCTCCTCCACCTCTAGAATTTGCCGGCTCGCCGCATTGCCACTCACACTGCCATTACAATACCCCGCACCACTCCCACCAGCGCCAGCACCAACAGAAGAAGCAGAAGAAAGCACTCGGGTTAAAGATGCTAATTCTAGCTCCATGCTCCCGCTGGTCATCCCAACCGCTCCTCCGCCACCCGCTCCCCCCACTCCCCCGCCGCCTCTTCCGCCTCCCCCCATTGCTCCGCCGGTCCCCGCCGCGGCAGCAACAGCAGCGGCGGAAGCAGCAGCGAGCGAGTAGGAGGGGGAGAGGGCGGCGGAGGAATAAGTTCCGGAAGCGGAACAGGAGGAGGTGGCGGAGTAGGGGGAAGCGGAGCCGTCGCCCGCGGATGCCTGCAGGGCCGGAGGAAGGAGGTGCGGAAGCGGAGCTTGCGCTTGCGCGAGCACCTGCGCCTGCCTGGTTGCGGAGTCGTGCAGCGGAGAAACGGAGGCGGAAGCGGAAGCGGAGGCGGCGGAAGCGGAAGCGGCGGGGGAACAGGAAGCGGAGCACGAGGCGGAGAGGGAAGTGGCGGGAGTGGCGGCGCTGGGGGAGCTCGAAGCGCCAGTGCCGTTGCTGCTGCTCGTCGCAACGCCCGTGATGATACTCGGGCCTGAGCTCGACGATGCGCTATAAGACACTGCGGCAGGAGAGCCTGTCTCTGCGCCCGCCTCCACACTCGCGCCCGCGCCCGCGCCATTGGTTGCGGTACTGCTTTCCGGCTTGCGCACAGCTACGGGAGCGCCAGGAGAGCCGGCACCTGCGGCTGGGCCCACATTAACGGAGAAACGACTCTTCTCCGCCGTCGCCGCCGCCGCTGATGTTGCCGTTGCCGATGCTGTTGCTGCGCGAGTTACGGGGAGAGAAATCGAGGCCGTTAGCGGAGAAGAGGAGGGGGACGACGACGAAGCAGCGTCAAAGCTGGTTCCGAGTGCCGCTGCCGACGCGGACGCCTCGATCCATGCCGCCACCACACTCGCGCGGGTCGCCGCCGCCGCCGCCGCCGTTTGTTCCGCCTGCTGCCGCTGCGCTTGCTGCGCCAGCTGCGCCTGTGCCTGCGCCTTGCGCGGAAGAGGTATGCGCGAAGGGGAGGACGACAGCGCGGGGGAAAACATCTCCGCGGGTTTGTCGTCCGCGCCCGCGCCGATCCGGTTTCCGCCACTCCCACCGCCACCTTTTGCGGACAGCCGCGCTTTGGCGGCCGTAGCCGCGCTCCGTGCAGGCGAGCCAATCGCAGCAATCATGTCGGGCGACGACACGTCAGCGCCATCGATTCTATCCGCCGGTCTGCCGCGATTGCCGGCGGGTTTCGCGCCACCGGAAGGCAGTTCGAGAGAGCTCGACGTGGTGAGTAAGGCGTAGCTTCCGATTCCGCTCCCCGGACGCTTCCCTCCCCCGCTTCCGCTTCCGCCGATGGCGCCAGCTCCTCCGCGGACATCCGCTTCCGCGCGCAGACTGGCGGAAGATCCCAGGGGCGGGGAGAACCCGTAGAGCTTCCCCGAACCGCCGGGGGTGCGGCTTTCTTCCGCGTGCGCAAAGCGCGACTGGGGGGAAAGCGCGGAAGGCACAGAGGACGGAGGGTGGGTGGGGGAGCGGTGCGGGAGGAAGCGCTCCTTTCCGCTCGGGACGGGCGCGCGGAGGCCGCGCGGGTTTGCGCCTGCGCCTCCGCCTGCGCTTGCTCTACTGTCTTCCCGGTCAGCTGGTCCGGTCGATCTTCCGCGACGACTGGCGGAAGCGGAAGCGGAAGCGCCGTCCTTTCCCCCTTTCCCCGCGCTTCCCGCATTGATGGCGGTAGAAACCGAACCGGTCGAGAGCGAACGGGTGGGGATGGCGGAAACGCTGCCTGCTGCTGCGCCTGCTCCGCCTGCCGCGGAGTTACCCGCATTGTCCCCGCGGCTGCCGCGACTTTTCCCGCCTGACAGCGCTTGCGCCTTCACGGACGTCAACTCCGCCGGCATAACCGTCAGCAGTTCGTCAGTCGACTTGCCGTCCAGCCCTAGCAAGCTGCTCGGGACAACGCGGCTGGAGTTCCCGCCCGTCGCGGCGGCGCCGACAGCGGCGGCTGCGGCAGCGGCGGCAGCAGAAGCAGCGGTGGCTGCGGCACCGCCATCGTACACCTTCTTTCCGGCGCCCATTGCGGCGGTGGCGGCGGCGGCGGCGCTGACTCTATCGGCGGCGCGCGCCTTTGCCATAGAAGCCTGGGTGGGCGCGAATAGGCGGCTTCCTTGCGGAACGGGGGAGACGCTGCGCTCCCGCCGCGACCTCCCCTTAAGCCCGCTAGGCCCCCCTGCTGCTGCGACAGCAGCGGCAGCGGCGGCGGCGGCGGCGGCAGCTGAGCCTCTAGCAAGTCCCGCAGAAGTCGACGTGGCATGATCGCGGCCGTTGATCGCGGCGGTTGAGGCGGAGTGTTTGGAAGAGACGGTGTCCGAGTCGCTAATGTCCTCCCATTTCGACGTGGAAGAAACAGCGCGGCTCGATGATGTGCTTCCGAGACCTAAGAGTCGTCGAATGTAGACGGACGTGCGTTTTGGAGTTAACGGCACGTCAGGTGCCTGGCGGCCGGAGCGCATGGTAGGGAAAGGGAAGCAACGGCGCAAAAGAGAAGGAAATAGGGAACGAAGACGGATAGATCAACTTGCTTTCCTATGGGGCGCTTAGACGTCTTAGACGGCGTGACGAGCCCCGTATTTGCACCAAAATGACGCAGCATTGTACAGACCACAGTCGATGGACAAGAGCTTGCGACATCACGTCGGCGCTATCATCTACCACGGGTCACCTACGGCGCTATCATCTACCACGGGTTACCCCGCCCCTGCGACGGATCAATCAGCTGCTCACCTCGTTACTTTCCGGCGGCAGCGCCGACGGCGTGGGGTCGAGGCTTTCGCTCTTGGCTATGGCGCGCAGCACGGCGCTGCTCAGTGACGGCGGGCCTGCCATGGACGGGAGGATGTAAAAGGGCGGATGGCAAAGAGAACGTAAATATTAGGAGTCACGGGAAATGCAGCAACGGGATTGGCAGAGAGAACGAAGTTCTTCGGGGTGATGGTGGGAACAGCGCGGGCGGGAATGAAACGCCTTGATAGTCGGCGATCAGAGACGGAAACTCGCAAGTTGCAACGGCCCTCTCCCAGACAACGCGCGGGGTGGTCTTTTTCCAGCATTTGCACCGCGGCACAGGCTCAGCACCTCAGCGGCACAAGCTCACCACCGCACGTGATTGCATGTAACCACGGCGGGCGACCACCGTGCGATTCCCCTGCTCTGACCCCACCCTGTGTAGCTCCTGTGCTCGTCTTCGTGAACAATGTTCCTAGGGTGGCTTACTTGGAGAAGAGAAATAAGGCGCCTCCACGTAAGAGCTCATCGTGTGTTCCCCGCGAGACCGTTGCTCCCTTGCTCCACTCCCCCCGCGTCCTCCGCTGCTTCCCTCTCCTACTCCAACGCCCTACAGTTGATGCTGTCTGCGACTGGTCCGTACGCCCCCTCCACTCAGGTTACTTTCTTGTTCCGCATTCGCGCCAAGCCCTGATCGGCACTACACACGGTTTTTCCGGTTCAGCGTCAGCGCCGCACGGCCGCTGCCTGACACGGTAATCTACACGCCAAAAACCCCACTATTCTCTGACTAACCAACGCTACGTTAGTCCAGCAAAGCCCCCTTCTGAAAACTCTTATCCAGTGACTAAAGAAGTATGAAGTTACAAAACTTTCCTGGTTCTTCTAGACTTTCTTGACTCCTCTTTATCGTTTCTCTAATCGCCGCGGTACTGGACGGGTCGTAACGGGCTGGAAGAGAGCTTCTTTGAAGCTGCCGCTACCGCTACTAGTTTGCTGATGGCGGCTGCTTTGTCATGGCATTTGACAACTGAAGGTCGGTTGTACAAAGAGAGAGCTGTTATTCTGTAAGGCACGATGACGATTAGGACGGTCGAGGGAAGTGCGGCGCTGTTAGTAATCCTAAGGGTAAGTGGCTAGCCTGGTCCGTCGTTAGAAACCAGAGTCCGAGATAAGGGTTAAAGTATCGTTACGTAAGTTGACTCGAGAGACAATCTCGTTATGGACGGAAATTGGACTGACTGCGGGGCGAATTGCAGGAGGAGGCTCTACAGACAAGGTTAGGAAAAACGAGGGGCAAGAGCGAGGCATGTGATGATCAGGGGCAAGGTGATCCGACAAGACAGACAACGCGAATCAGGGGCAGGGGCAGAACGAGCTACTTTTTCTGACCCAAGCCTTGCTTGGGCAGTGTGCTGTGTGAAGGGGCATTTTCCTCGCGTGGAGGGAGAACTTGATGGAAATGGAATGGTGGGTGAGGTTCAGGCTTGTCAACAGTGAGCTTGCAAGTGGTGGGGGTGCTGATGGGGGCGCAAGAGCAAGGTTGCAGTGGTTCGCTCGCATGCATCCATTTCGCATGGGGGCCAAATTGAACATGGGCAATGAGAGAAATTAGAGGTTTTGAAATGCGGCTCGGAAAACTTGAAACGAGATTGGCGAAGAGCGTGAGGTTCAACTCACCTTGGGGGCAAACAAGGTTGTTGACGACCAATCAGATCGAAGGTTTGGGGTGAGGACGGTTTTGAGGAGGTGAATCGCGACTTGCTGAAGTTGGGATTGCCCGAGTATACGCGACTTCCTCTCACTAACGAGGGTGCACCTCAGCCAATCTGGGTAGATAACGCTTCGAGAAGCTTGGTTTGGTGCGCTTGGGGAGCTCCTCAAATCTCGCGAGCCTAGCAGCCGGGAAACTAACCAGTTGATGCTTCTTGCTCGGGGAGAATGTCTACGCTTATTTGCTAGAGCCATGAGACTGACTACCGAACCATACGCTAAACCTAGCAGTAAGTTTTTCAATTGCCAAGCTTCGTAAGTTCTCCTGCCCGCACCCGCCATCACATGCACCACTGTTGGGTGCTGTACCTGCGCCTACTCCTCGGTTTGGGAACACATGCGGTCTGGCCCTTCTCGAACCGCCTTGAAACCAAAGCACGTCCTGCATTGCCCCTCACTTCGCCTTCATTTGCTTTGCGCCATAAGAACTCGCGAGCAGTCACATTCTCATGTTATTGAGCCACGGGTGCTGGATCGCAATACTTCCTATCGAGAGTCGCGTTTATAAAAACAGTTTCAAAAATACAGATATCATCATCTGCACATACAGCGCTAAGGTCATCGTTATGTCAAAGAAAGGGTACTTTCACTATTTGTTATGAGTTGTACAATGAAGATAGCAAAAGAATGTAATAACGCGGAAGTGATTACAACTATAGAATAAATAACGGGGCCTACCACAAATATAGCGAAAGTCTAGCTAGGCGAAACCCCCGAATTCGCGATGGTTGGGTGCTGGTTCGGGGTTGCCAAAACCCGAAGGAGACACGAGATACGTTTGGAGGGCGAGGTCGTCGTGTGAAGAAACAGGAATGAATGACTAGGAAATAAGTTGGGTACAAATATGAAACCCTAGGAAACTGTACCCCATAGTGTCTATCCCACTACAGCCTAGACAGGCTATGTGATTAATGTTTGACACATCCCCATAGGCAAAGTGGGGGAGAACAAGGGGTCACAAGACCAGTCAAGCAAAGCAAAGCAAAGCAATCTCAGGGTGGATCACAACGTCACCACACATTCCGAGCACAGGTTCAAAGGCCACAAGGCCAGTTCGCATGCAGGATTATATATAAAAGGTAAACAAGCAGGTGAAGGTATATATAGATCACAGTACAAGCAAAGTCAAGAGGTAAGCAAGTGAGGCCAAGTAGGCACAAGACCTAGCACAGTACAGAAACGCTGATGATCACAAGGCTGAAGTGCCTTGGTGAAGATATCAGCAGTGTTGGCCTGAGAGGCCACGTAAGCAAGGCGCAGCTGACCACGCTGCTGCAGCTCACGAGCAAGGAAGTAGCGAAGAGCAATGTGCTTCGTTCTGTGCTCCAGTCTGTGCTCCCGACACAAGGCCAACATGGCCTTGTTGTCTACGTGCAGAACTGGAGGAGAACGAGGCGGCTCTCCCAGGTCAGTCAGCAGGTAGGTGAGTCAGCGTAACTCCTGTGCAGCCATGGCTCCTGCGTAGATCTCAGCCTCACAGCTGGAGCTGAGAACAGAAGACGAGCGGGTAGACCGCCACGAAACAGAACCGGAATCAAGGCTGAAGGTGTAACCCTAGGACGACCGCTGAGTAGCCAGGTCGTCCACCCAAGACGCGTCTGCGTGACCAGTGAGGACTAATGGACTCCGCCCTCCAAGCACGAGCCCCATGCCCGACGTACTGCACAGGTAGCGCAACACCCTCTTCGCGGCAACCATGTGTTCTGGTCGGTGTCTGCCAAGAGCAACATAGCGTGCCAGAATGCTAAGAGGGTATGCCAGGTCAGGTCGAGTGCAGGTCATCAGGTACATGAGACAGCCAACAAGCTCTGGGTACGGGCCACTCGGCTCTACGGACTCATCCGAAGGCAGAGCTGAGAGCGAGTGGCGAGTAGACAGAGGAGTGGCCTGAGGCGAGGAGTACGTGAAGTCGAAGCGCTGAAGGACCTGCTGCACCATGTGTGACTGAGTCAGGGTAATGGTGCGCCGTGCTCTGTCCCGGGTGATCTGCAAGCCAAGATAGCTGCGTAGTTCACCCAGGTCTGTGCACGTGTGTCTCTTCTGCAGCTCGGACTCCACGTGGGCGAGTCCAGCAGTGTCAGCTGTAGCAAACACCAAGTCGTCGGCGTACACGAGGATGTAGAACGCCGGCAGCAAAGTGTCGGTGCGAAGAAACAGCGACGGGTCAGCAGTAGAAGGAGCAAACCCAAGAGCCGCAAGCGTAGTCCTCAGTGTGTCGTGCCACTCACGGGGCGCCTGGCGGAGACCGTAGACTGGCCGCCGGAGGCTCCACTGGGTACCAGGAGGAAACGACCCAGTGAAGCCAGGTGGGCGGCGCAGCCAGATCTCCTCGTGCAGGCTGCCCTGTAGGAAAGCAGTGCTGAAGTCAAGGGAGTGAGGCTCGTAGTCACGCTGAGCAGCGACGTGCAGTAGAACCCGAAGAGTGGTCATCTTCGGGGTCGGGGAGAAGGTCTGAAAGTAGTCAACTCCCTGCCGCTGACTGAAGCCTCGAGCCACGTAACGCGCCTTGAAGACATGCAGAGAACCCGGCGGCCGCTTCACCCTGAAAATCCACATGCCACTGACGATGTTCGCCCCAGGTGGGGGAACCTCGTCGACGTAGGTGCCTGTGGACTTCCAAGAAGCCATCTCTGCGTCCATGGCTGCCTGCCACTGAGAGGAGTAGGGACCCTCTATCGCCTCTGCGTAAGAGCGCGGGGTCGGGATGTCTGGTGCATCCGGGTCTCCATCAGGGGCAAGCAGCATGGACACGAGATGAGGTAAAGCAGCAGCAAAACACTGGAACTCCTCTTGCCTGTCCTCAAGGACGTCCGTGCTAAGGGCACACTCACCCCCGACGGACGGAGGACAGACAGACGCAGACTCAGCAACAAGACTAGTGGCGTAGTCTAGACGACAGTGAGCAGCGAAGTCGACAAGCTCGGCAACTAAGGCAGACGCAGCAGCGGACTCAAAGGAAGGGTCAGTGACAGCAGTGGCTAGGAAACGCGTGACAGTAGGACTGGCAGCACGAAGGGAGTCAGACTCCGGGTCAGCAAGAGCAGGAAGAGAGGACTCTGGAGGAGACGGCAAAGGGATACGCTGTGGTGCAGTGGAAGGACGCAGTGCCATCTGATGCGTGCCAGGGATCGCAGGAGGACGCGGACGCGGAACGCGACGACTAGGGCGAGCAGTACGAACAGGTGACGCAGGACGCGACTCAGGCTCACGACGCTCAGCAAGACCTCCAGTAGGACCAGCGTAGGGAGAAGGAGCAGGTAGTGGAGAGGCTAGCTGTAACTGTGACTCGGACTGGACAGGCGGTGGACACTCTAAGGAAGGAGCAGGAC